AAAATATAGGAGAATTTCTTCATATCCTCAGGATAGGGAATCCTCAACAGTACACAAAAGCATTAGCTGTAGTGGTAAGAATTGATAAATTTTAAAATTTATAGAATTTTAAATGAATTTTTAAAATGAATTTGTAAATGAATTCATTGTAAAATTCTATAAATTTATAGATACATTTATTTTATACATGTATACATTTATAAAATGTTTAAATTAATTTATAAATTCATTTAAAAACTTTTATTCATCAAAATAAACCATTAAGAGAATGGAGGCTGGGCATGGTGGCTCATGCCTGTAATCCCAGCACTTTGGGAGGCTGAGGTGGGAGGATCGCTTGAGGCTAGGAGTTCAAGACTAGCCTGGGCAACATAATGAGACCTCCTCTTTATAAATAATGATTAAGAAATTAGGGCCGGGTGCGGTGGCTCACACCTGTAATCCCAGCACTTTGGGAGGCCAAGGCGGGCGGATCACGAGGTCAGGAGATTGAGACCATCCTGGCTAACACGGTGAAACCCCGTCTCTACTGAAAATACAAAACATTAGCCGGGCGTAGTGACGGCGCCTATAGTCCCAGCTACTCAGGAGGCTGAGGCAGGAGAATGGCATGAACCCAGGGGGCGGAGCTTGCAGTGAGCCGAGATCCGGTCACTGCCCTCCAGCCTGGGCGACAAAGCGAGACTCCGTCTCAAAAAAAAAAGAAAAAAGAAATTAGCTGGGCATGGTGGTGTGCACCTGTGGTCCCAGCTACTCAGGAGGCTGAGATGAGAAGACTGCTTGGGCCCAGGAGGCCGCGCCATTGTGCTCCAGCCTGGGTTATGGAAGGAGACCCCATCTCCAATATATAAATAAATAATAAACAAGCAAACCAGTCACAGAATGGGAGAAGTGCGACACACACATAACTGACCAAGTACTTGAATACATAAAATCTAGAGATATTTTATAAATCAGAAAGGAAAAGATACGCAACCCAGTTAAAACAGGGATGAAATAGTTGAATGGGCACTTCACCAAAGAGAATATACCAAAAAAGCACACCACTTTACTGGTAATTAGAGAAATGCAAATTAAAACCACAATAAGATAATATTATGTGTCTAAACATTGGCAAACATGGCAAGGCTTTTCTAAACGACAAGAAATAAATCCAAATAAACAGTGAAATGTGTTGATGGATGGAAAGACTTGACATACTAAAGCTGTCTATTCTCCCCAACGTCATTTACAAAGGAGTGCAATCCTAATTAAAAGCACAACCAAATTCTTTATGGAATTCAACAAGCTGACTCTTAAGTTTGTGTGAAAGAAAAAATGTACAAAGATAGCTAAGAAAATTCTGAAGAAGGAGATCAGAACAGTGTAGACTAGAGCAAGGATAATCAAATAGATTAATAGAAAAGGTGAGTCTTTGCAGGTTGGGTTTTCCAGAAGCAGCCACTGAGTTGGAGACTGGGGTGTAAGGAAGGAGTGGGAAGCAAGAATGAGCAGAGGAAGAAGTCAGAGGGCAACGAAGCCTGAACAGAGAGCTCTGACAGCAGGGAGCGCTGAGCAAATGCCTCTCAGGCTTATCCCACGTCAGGCTGAAATGGCCAAGGCTTTATCTCCTTGCCTTTCTCAGTCACTGGCTCAGAAGGGGAGTACCTGGGGCAAAGAAGTTCACAGCTGCAGGCTGTTTGTTCACTCAGCTCTTTGCAACAGGGCAGCAACTCCCTCCTTGCTGGGGAATCTGACAGGCCCATCACTGTGTCTACCAGAAAGTCCAGAATCAATCCATGTATGTTTCTTAAGCTGCACACAAAATCCGCAAAGTATAAAGAAAAAGATTATTGTATATGACCTCATGAAAATGGAAAGGGAGTTGAAAAGGAGAAATTGTGTTTAGCAAAGGATTAATATCTAGAATATTTAATAGAATGCCTACAAATAAAAAACAAAAATAGGCTGGGCACGGTGGCTTACACCTGTAATCCCAGCACTTTGGGAGGCCGAGGCGGGCGGATCACAAGGTCAGGAGATCGAGACCATCCTGGCCAACATGGTGAAACCCCGCCTGTACTAAAAATACAAAAATTAGCCAGGCATGGTGGCGGGAGCCTATAGTCCCAGCTACTTGGGAGGCTGAGGCAGAAGAATAGTGTGAACCCAGGAGGCGGAGCTTGCAGTGAGCCGAGATCGCGCCACTGCACTCCAGCCTGGGCAACAGAGCAAGACTCCGTCTCAAACAAACAAACAAAAAAATAATTCAAAAGAAAAATAATAGACAAAGAAGACAGACAATTCAAAAAAGAAACTGAACAACACACTTCAGAAAAGATATTTGGCCTTGCCAGCAGAGAAAGGCAAAATGAACCTGTTACAATTTTTCATCCATTAGATTGAAATTTTCGAAAGATTGGTGATACAATGTGTTGGTGAAAATGCAGAATAACAAGCAGTCTTCTGCAGTATTGGTAAGAGTGTAAATTGGAGAAGTTTATTAGAAGGTGTGGCATCCAACAAACTCCACAAGCCCATAAGTTTTGTTGCAGTTCTACTCTCAGTAATCTGTACCACTCACATGTACACTCAAAGATGTAGCTTCCATTCTTTGCACCTTAGTTTATAAGAGTGAAAAATTAGAAACAACTCAAATGCCCGTAAGTAAATGCCCTAAATTATGATTCATCTAAACTACAGAATACTAATAGCCATTTAAGAGAAAGAGGCGGCAACTAACATGTAATGATATAGAAAGATCTTCAAGATTAGCTGTTAGTGAAAAAATAAGTCACATAACAATACTTACGGTGTGGTCCTTTTAATGTTAAAAAAAAAAAAATATATATATATATATATATATATATGCCGGGTGCAGTGGCTCATGCATGTAGTTCCAGCACTATGGGAGGCCGAGGTGGGCGGATCACTTGAGGTCAGGAGTTGGAGACCAGCTGGCCAACATGGCAAAACCCTGTCTCTACTAATAATACAAAAAAACTGGCCAGGTGTGGTGGTGCATACCCGTAATCCCACTACTCAGGAGGCTGAGGCATGAGAATTGCTTGAACCCAGGAGGTGGAGGTTGCAGTGAGCCAAGATCGTGCCACTACACTCCACCCTGGGCGACAGAGTGAAACTGTCTCAAAAAAAATAAAATATATAAATATACACACACACACATATATATACACATATATATATACACACACATATATAGTATATTTCTGGAATGTGTGTGCAAATTCCTAGAGAGAGAATAAGAGTGATATGCACCACACTCTGGATAAGGCTTACCTCAAGGGAATGGAAGAAGGTGCTCAAGGAATGTTTGGGTGTTACTCTGTGTGATTCTGCATTGTTTGAATCTTTGGGGGTTTTTTTGGTGGTTTTTTTTTTTTTTTTTGAGACAGTCTCACTCTGTCACTCAGGCTGGAGTGCAGTGGCACAATCTGGGCTCACTACAACCTCCACCTCCCGGTTTAGGTGATTCTTGTGCCTCAGTCTCCCGAGTAGCTGGGATTACAGGCGTGTGCCACTATACTCAGCTAATTTTTTTGTATTTTTAGTAGAGATGGGGGTTTCACCATGTTAGCCAGGCTGGTCTCCAACTCCTAACCTCAGGTGATCTGCCCGCCTTGGCCTCCCAAAGTGCTGGGATTACAGGCATGAGCCACCATGCCTGGCCATGTTTAACTTTTAAGAACTATTAAATTGTTTTACACAGTAGCTACACCATTTTATATTCCCCACCAGCAATGCACAAGGATTCCAATTTCTCCACCATCTTACCAGCAGTTTTTATTTATCATTTTTATATTACAGTCACTCTAAGGAGTATGAAAGTGCACCTCATGGTGGTTTTGACTTGCATTTCCCTATGACTAATGATGTTCAGCATCTTTTCATGGCTTATTGGCCATTTGTATATTTTCTGTGGAGAAACTGCTATTCAAGTTCTTTGCCCATTTTTGAATTGGGTTGTTGGTTTTTTGTTCTTGAGTTGTAGGATTTTTTTTTTAAATGTTCTGGACTTCATCCATTATCAGATATATATGGTTTGCTATTTTTCCCCATTATTTTATTTTATTTATTTATTTTTTTATTATTATTATTATTTTTTGAGACCGACTCTCACTGTGTCATCACCCAGGCTGGAGTGCAGTGGCGGAATGGTGGCTCACTGCAACCTCTGCCTCCCGGGTTCGAGATACTCCTGCCTCAGCCTCCTGAGTAGCTGGGACTACAGGCACACACCACCACGCCTGGCTAGTTTTTGTAGTTTTAGTAGAGACAAGGTTTCACCATGTTGGCCTGGCTGGTCTCGAACTCCTGACCTCATGTGATCCACCCGCCTTGGCCTCCCAAAGTATTGTTTCCTTATTCTGTGGGTTATCTTTTTACTCTCTTCATAGTATCCTTTGATGCACAGCTTTTAATTCTGATGTATTTTTACTTTTTACTTTCGTTTGTGCTTTTGCATCATAACCAAGAAATCACTGCCAAGTCCAGTGTCGTGCAGCTTTTTCCCTGTGTTTTCTTCTAAGAATTTTTGTGGCACTAGCCCTTAAATCAAGTCTTTGATCCATTTTGAGTTAATTTTTATATGGTATGAAGTAAGGGTCCAACTTCATTATTTCATATGTGTATATTCAGTTTTCCCCATCGAATGGTCTTGGCAACCTTGTCAAAAATCAATTGGCTGTTTATGGGAGGGTTTATTCCTGGGCTTTCCATTCTGCCCCACTGGCATATGTGCCTGTCTTTATGCCAGTACCACACCGTTTTGAATACTGTAGGTTTGTAGTAAGTTTTGAAATCAGGAACTGTGAGTCCTCCAACTTTGTTCTTTTTAAAGGTCATTTTGGCTATTTGGGAAAAACAATAATGAAAAAAAATTACTACTTGTAAGATCTATGTGAAATTTCTACCTTCTGAAAATATGAATTCTCATTTATAATTTTCTGGGACTCAATCTTTTCTGCTGTTAAAGTGTGTATTTATGCTCTTAATTATAGAAAGAGTATTCAAACCAAAATGCAGTTGTGAAGAGAATGCAGTCTCTCCAACTTGATTGTGTGGCAGTGCCTCCGAGCAGGTCAAATTCAGGTAAATTATCCTGTGCTCAAAATCCATTCATTTATTTGTTTGGTTACTCATTCACTCCACTCTAAAATGCTACTCGGGACCACATGGGAAACAGAAGAAACTATAAAAGTGAACACCTGCCTTAAAGGAATTTATAATATTCGAGAGTCAAGTTCCATGTATTTGAAATACGAAGTAACAGTGTGCTCACCAGTCATAGTGTTCTGAACAAAAGGCCTAACATATCTGATGGGGAGAAGTGACGATTCAGAAGAAGGTAAGGGACATATGTGAGAGCAAAGTCCCTGAGGAGGTCGTAGTGACTTAGAGCCAGACTACAAGCAGAGAGGCTCGTCCTCACGTCAAGTAGGAATACCTTTTTCACTGTAACAAAGGGATTGCAGAGTATAGGATACTGCAGCCACTTAGCTACCTGATCTGTGGCTAATTAACCTCTTCTAAACTTCACCCATCAAATCATCATAATTGCTCCTCCTCTCATAGGGCTCTTCAAGAATGAAAGAATTCATGGGACGTGCTTAGGACAGAGCTGCTGCAGAATTTTTTTTTTTTTTTTTTTGAGACGGAGTCCCTCTGTCACCCCGGCTGGAGTGCAGTGGCGTGATCTTGGCTCACTATAACCTCTGCCTTTCAGGTTCAAGCGATTCTTCTGCCTCAGCCTCCCAAGCAGCTGGGATTACAGGCATACACCACCATGCCTGGCTAATTTTTGTATTTTCAGTAGAAACGGGGTTTCGCCATGTTAGCCAGACTGGTCTCAAACTCGTGACCTTAGGTGATCCGCCCGCCTCGGCCTCCCAATGTGCTGGGATTACAGGCGTGAACACTGTGCCCGGTCGCAGATCTTATTTTCCACCTGAATTGCTCCAAGGAGACAACTACCCTCTCTGCTCCAAACCAGGTCCCTTTTTTCCTTGATCATCTCTGCAACAGCCGCTCTTCTCTTGCTTGCTATAATTTTCCTAGTACTCTCTCACTGCCAGCGAGGAGCTCCTATTATTTGTAAAGCTTGTGGGAAGAGGATCATCTCCTAAATGCTTCGGACTGGTCTCTTACTTATTTTCTGTGCGTCCCTCTGAGATACAGATTCATGATGGTGCTCAGATTTTATTTTACTTTTTAATGTTTCACGAAACCCATTCTAATGTTGATCATTTCTTCTCAGCCACAGAACAGCCTGGTTCACTGCACAGTTCCCAGGGACTTGGGATGGGTCCTGTGGAGGAGTCCTGGTTTGCCCCCTCCCTGGAGCACCAGCAAGAAGAGAATGAGCCCAGTCTGCAGAGTAAACTCCAAGAGGAAGCCAACTACCATCTCTATGGCAGCCGCATGGACAGGCAGATGAAACAGCAGCCCAGACAGAACGTGGCTTACAACAGAGAGGAGGAAAGGAGACGAAGGGTCTCCCATGACCCTTTTGCACAGCAAAGACCTTATGAGAGTTTTCAGAATACAGAGGTAAAAGGCACCGCTTATTCTAGTGCAGCCAGTCATGGTAATGCAGTGCCCCAGCCCTCAGGGCTTAGCAGCCAACCTCAAGTGCCATATCGGAACAATGTATTATATGGCTCACATGGCTTTGGAACGAGACCACTGGATCCAGGAACAGCAGGTCCCAGAGTTTGGTATGGGCCACTTCCAAGTCCCATGTCTAGTCTGTATAAAATCCCGGTGCCTGAGACCAACTATGTGGGAAACACACCCACGATGCCATTCACCTCCTTGCCGCTAACAGGTAAATGGGTCTTTGATAGTCACAATCTTGTCTTTTTTTATTTTTCAGAAAATAAAGCAACCAACCAGCTCTATGGTAGATTGTGGGTTGTGATGGGGACAGGGGGTATCGTCCACTGCCAGATGCAAGTTGCCACTGTGGAATGGACTCCGCCAGGCCACTTGGTCTGGGAGTATTTCATCTGGGGCTAGGATTCATCACAGATGTCCACAAGCATCGGGAGGTGCTTGTGACTGGCAGGCGTCTTTGACTCTAATGTGGAGTGCATAGTAGTCCTATTTCACCCAATCTCTGATAAATGGGAAGTTATCTGCTTATTTGCTTTTACCTTGCTTGCTGTTTTTTGGAGATAAGAAATCAGTTTTGGATATTTTTGTTTCTTACCTTATATAGCTCAAAGACTACCATTAGTGATGAAAAAATTTTTTTTAACTCCCATATATCTATCAGGTGAAGTAAAAGGTACGTGATAGTAGTTACTGGCAGTCTAGAATGGAAGTGATTTAATGTAATATCCAGCATTTTTATCAAATAATACTCACCAACATCACCTTAACCACCTGAACGGCATCTACCAGTGATACCCACAAGTGTCCTGGAGATCCTGAAATCAACTTAGGTACAGGAAGCTTTGAGAACCACAGAGCTTAGTTACAATTTCTTTCAAAACGCCAGATTCTCCAAAAACATCCTTTGAAAACATCCTCGATTTTTTCCATAGGTTTTATTATAAGATCTGTAGAATGCAAAATATTGGATTAGACATTAAGCAGTATCCAAGTCATGTATAATCCTATGAGCAGAATGTCCTTTTGTTTCCTTCATGTCTGGGGATAAAATTTTTCATTAGTGTTGCCATATCATTTTATTCATTCATGATTAAGTCAATAAAAATTTCAGCTGGGGCCATGGTTGGCCAGGCGCGGTGGCTCATGCCTGTAATCCCAGCACTTTGGGAGGCTGAGGTGGGTGGATCATTTGAGGCCAGGAGTTCGAGACCAGCCTGGCTAACATGGTGACACCCTGTCTCTACTAAATAATACAGAAATTGGCCGGGCATGGTGGTGCATGCCTGTAGCCCCAGCTACTAGGGAGGGTGAGGCAGGAAAATCACTTGAACCCTGGAGACAGACGTTACAGTGAGCTATGCCACTGCACTCCAGCCTGGGAAACAGAGTGAGATTGTGTCTCGGGGGAAAAAAAAAAAGTTCTGTAATCCCAGCACTTTGGGAGGCTGAGGCAGGCAGATCACGGGGTCAGGAAATTGAGACTATCCTGGCTACCACGGTGAAACCCCATCTTTACTAAAAATACAAAAAAAAAAAAAATAGCGGGGCATAGTGGCACGTGCCTGTAATCCCAGCTACTCGGGAGGGTGAGGCAGCAGAATCACTTGAACCTGGGAGGCAGAAGTTGCAGTGAGCCGAGATCGCATCACTGCACTCCAGCCTGGGTGACAGAGCGAGACTCCATCTCAAAAAAAGAAAAGAAAAAAGAAAAAAAAATTCCAAAGCACTTCCCACTTTGTGCCATGCAGTTCTCCAGGCACTGGAGCTATAACTGAGCAAACAGCCTGAGTGAGTCCCTTCCCTCATACAGTTTAAATCCTAGTGGATGGAAGGCAGACCCTAAACCAATATTTAATGTGTCATTTTTTATCTTCTTTCTACATGAGCAACCCAAATACACTAGTTTAGTGCCAAAATCGCTTTCTGTTTTCACTCTTGCTGTGGTTCCTGATTCTGCCTGTGACAGATGTACGGGCATCCAGCTTCTTCAGGATTCTGAGATGCTTTCAGGGGGGAGGGGGCACTTGGATCTATAATAAATAATAGAATTTTCTGTTTCTGCACCCAAAGATGATCCTGCTAAGTACTGAGCTAGTAAATGAACACGCTGAGTTTCTCCTTGCAAATTTAAATAAGTCTTCTGCTTGCTTTTGTTATCAAAATGTCCTAACTCTGTACCAAAATGTGAGTTTTCTGATTTGCCATACCATAGAAGAAGGGTGTGTGTATCCAGTAAGTATGAAAGGAAAATAAAAGTCTTCCTCTCAGTGAAAGAGCTCCCAGACCCACTGTTTCTATTCACTGTGCTGCTTGAAGTGAGGTTAGAAAAGGAAAGCTCACTGGGCTAGGGGTCAGGAGACCCAAGTCGAGTCCTGCGTGTGCCAGTCACTGCAGTGGGTGACTTTGGGAAAGTCGTTTGCCTTTCCAGAGTTCATTCTCCTCAATTATAAATGAAAATGTTACGACTGAAAATTTATACATTGTAAGCTCTAGTGTGTTTCTAATACTGCATTTGTTTCTCCGTTTCATAACTTTCATGGCTTTTCCAGTGGCCAGATTTGGGCAGAAAGCACTGATTCAAGAAAACAAATCTCCAAGTAGAGAGGTGCAGGGTAGACCTCCATGTAAGCCCGTGGTGAGCGCAGACTGTGAGTGACAAACACAGTGTCAGTACAAGCTGGAGGTGGTGGGCCAGGAGGATTCAACAGGGTAAGGCAGCTTAGCACTGTGCCTGACGATGCACAGAATAAGTGCTCAGTAAATGGTAGCTGCTGTTATTAGCACTGTTATTATCACAGCTAACAAGAACACCTAGACAGCCTTGAGTGCTGGAGGGTACCTCAGAGACTGTCACAGGAGTTCCTTGCTAGGATTCCAAGGACCCCAGTTTCAGCAGCTTCACGAACACCCAGAACTATGTACACATGGTGTGTGTGTGCACATCCTATATTTCTTACACCTGTCTCTAGAGAGGGTCCCTAGTTTCCTTGGCTTCCTCAGAGAAAATGCAACAAATGAGCACGGTGCCTGGTCCAGAAGGCGGCCTATCTTAGGGTCAGGTGTGCTGACGAAGGTACCTAGAGCTGCTATTCATTTCCCTCCTCAGAACTGTCTTCTCGACCACCTTCTCTCTCCTACAGGGATATGCTGAGTGCTCTTTAGGGACAGTACCAACACTTGACAAATTCAGCTCAGCATGAATGTCACTGAGCCCATGCCCATACCAAGTCCCAGGCTAGCGAGTGTAAGGAATACAAAAACAAGTGGGCATGGTTGCTGCCCTCTCGGGACTCACATTCTAGTGGAGAAGTCAGGCAGACCCAGCTCAGATACAGAGCGGCCCAGGGCAGAGTGCTGAGTCTAGGATTACAGTGCAGGCTCACAGAAGGAGGGGATTTTTGCTGGGCCTGTGTCAGAAAATCACAGATAGGGAGAAGCACGTCGGAAGGTCAACAGTCCAGGCAGAGGCAGGAGCACCATGTCAGCAGATCAGTGGGAAATCTGGTGGGACTAGAGTCTCTGGAGTGGAGAGAGGGTGGAGACAGTGAAAGGAAGATCAGAGACAGAGGGTAGGGCAGAGCTGTGGCTAGCTTCTGAATACTGAACCTGAGAAGTTTGAGTTTATCAGGTAAAGGAGGAGGACCCTTCACAGATGTTCAGAGTCGTGGGATCCTGCTGGGAAGTGTGGCTGAGCTGTGCTATGCTGTTCATCCACCTCTGATTTCTGACTTAGCCACATTTTTCTATGGTAAAATTCAAAAACATAAAATATACCATTTTAACCATTTTTACAGTGGCATTACCTAACATTCATGTTGTTATGCAACCATCACCACCATCTATCTATGTAACTGTTTTGATCTTGCAAAACTAAAATTCTGTATCCATTAAACACCAACTCCCCAGCTCCCCTCCCAGCCCCTGACAACCACCATTCTACTGTCCGTTCCTGTGACTCTTGACTATTCTAGGTACCTCATATGAGTGGAATCGTGCAGCATTTGTCTTTGTGGCTGGCTTCATTCACTTAGGAAATGTCCTCAAGGTTCATGCATGTCGTAGCATGTGATGTGATTCCCTTCCTTTTCAAGGCTGACTATTCCATTGTGTAGCTAGGCCACAGTTGGGTTATCCACTCATCTGCTCATGGGTGCTTGGCTGACTTCCACCTTTCGGCTATTGTGAATAACACTGCAGTGAACACACGGGTAGAAACATTTCTTAGAACCTGTTTTAGTTCTTTTGGGTATATACTCAGAAATGGAATTGCTGGATCATATGGTAAATCTATCTTTAATTTTTTTGAAGAATCACGATAACTCTTTTTTTTTTCTTTTGAGACAAGAGTCTCGCTCTGTCGCCAGGCTGGAGTGCAGTGGCACAATCTCGGCTCGGCTCACTGCAAGCTCCGCCTTCTGGGTTCAAGTGATTCTCCTGCTTCAGCCTCCTGAGTAGCTGGGATTACAGGCACCCACCACCATGCCTGGCTAATTTTTGTATTTTTAGTACAGATGGGGTTTCACCATGTTGGCCAGGCTGGTCTTGAACTCCTGACCTCAGGTGATCCACCCACATCGGCCTCCCAAAGTGCTGGGATTACAGGCATGAGCCACTGCGCCCAGCCCACTATACTGTTTATAGCAGTGGCTGCACCATTTCACATTCCCACCAGCAGTGCACAGGGGCTTCATTTTCTCCACATCTTTGTCAATATGTGTTATTTCTGTCTTTTTTTTTTTTTTTAATTGTAGGCATCCTAATGGGTATGAGGTGGTTTAGCCAGATTTTAAAGAAGAAAAGTTTGAACGGTGGCATAGGATAATGAACTTAATGTTTGGGATAAAGCCCTGCTTGTTTGCCATGCTGTACTTTTTCTCTTGCTTTTGATCTAGAATTACTTACCTGTGTGTTTCTCTTTGTTCAGATGAATCTATAAAATATGCCATATACAATAGTACTGGCATTCAGATTGGAGCCTACAATTATATGGAGGTTGGTGGGACGAGTTCATCACTACTAGACAGCACAAATATGAACTTTAAAGAAGAGCCAGCTTCCAAGTACCAAGCTATCTTTGGTAAGATACCCTGGAAGGACCCAATGTCTAGCAACCTTGAACTTTCTTACTTTTGAGAAGGACATAGTGGAATCTTAAAATTTCTCTGATAATTCTTCTTGAAAGTTTTCTCATGTTACTTCTGCAAAATATCTTTGTAATTTCCATATAATTCCTTTGTAATTTATTTATTTATTTATTTATTTTTTCTGAGACGGAGTCTCGCTCTGTCGCCCAGGCTGGAGTGCAGTGGCGTGATACTGACTCACTGCAAACTCTGCCTCCCGGGTTCACGCCATTCTCCTGCCTCAGCCTCCCGAGAAGCTGGACTACAGGCGCCCGCCACCATGCCCGGCTAATTTTTTTTGTAGTTTTAGTAGAGACGGGGTTTCACCGTGTTTGCCAAGATGGTCTTGATCTCCTGACCTCGTGATCGGCCCCCTCGGCCTCCCAAAGTGCTGGGATTATAGGCGTGAGCCACCGCGCCCAGCCAATTTATTTGTTTTTAATATGGAGATAATCACAGTATTTATGGATTTGTTGTGAAAATTAAATGAGTTGGTATGTATAAAAAGATTAGAACACTGCCTGACACATACTAAGTTCTATAAAAAGTGTTAAACTTTCATCATTAGCATCATCAGTATTACTGCTCAGACCTGGAAGAAACAGCTGTGTCAGGCCCTCATCAAAGGAGATCCTGTACAAGATAGAAGACTGTGCCCTCCACAGCACTTCTGTAATAAAATCAAGAGGACTATCTCTTACAGGGTTCTACTGTGCAGGCCCATAATGCTAATCCCAAAGTACAGTCTGGAAAAAGTCATGAGGCCAAAACAACTTGATTAAGAACCCAGCTTTCTAATTAACCATGGGATTGGCTATTTTTTTTTTTTTTTTTCCTGTAAAGGAACCAGTAGTAAATGTTAGGCCCTGCTGTCTTTGAGGTCTCTCTTGGAACTACTCAACTCTCTTATTGCAGTGCAAAAGCAACCACAGACAATACACACGTGAATGAGCATGGCTGTGTTCCGATAAAAGTTTATTTACAAACGCTGGCAGGGAGCCAGATGTGGCCCACAGGCCATAGCTTGCCAACCCCTGGTCTAACCCATTTGAAGGACAGCTTTTAAAATACCTACAACAGAACTTCTGAATGGTCAAGGGCACCTGTGAGAATCTAATGAAACGCGGGATCTACCCCCTACAGAAATATTGACAAAATTTGGAAAGTATCTTGGGAAGTTCTTGGACTGCTGACAATCGAGTGGTGGCAATACAAGCCACATTATGGAGGGCTGAGGAAAGAAGAGAGGTTGAAAGGAAAAATGAAATATTTTCTTCCTTATGTTCTGTTTAATGAGGTCGTGTAGGAATTATTTTTGTTGTGGTTGTTTTACATTTTTGTTTCCTTTTATTATTTTTACGAAGGGCTAAGGGAAAGAACCAGTAGAAGGAGAGAGGTTATGGCTATTTGAGAAGAGGCAATGTCAGTTGGCGGCGGGGTAGGGTAAAGGAGGGGAATGGTCCAGAAACAGACCTTGAAGAGTAGTTACCTCATCGCTTGAAAGACAAGGAAGGCATTGTAACTGAATGGGTTCACACCTGCTGGACAATTCCTTGATTAAGTAAGAGGAAAGTGAACTGTTGGGTGGGGGTGGTAGTCAGGAGTTGAGTGGCTTTCACTCTGGCCAGATGTAAGTGGAAAATGTCTAAAAGGAACAAAAATGGTGGTTTTTCCCTTTACATCCAGGAACGTCTAATACCAACAGGGTCACGGGCTAAGATTGAATAGAACACCCAACCTCGTAGCCACATAGGGGTTTTGTTCACAGAGCCATCAGCTGTGGCTCAGGAATGTGTCTACTGGGAGGAAGGAATGCCTTATTCTTTTTTATTTGTTTTGTTTTTGAGACCACATCCTGCTCTGTGGCCCAGGCTGAAGTACAGTGGCACAATCATGGCTCACTGCAGCCTTGAACTCCTGGGTTCAAGTGATCCTCCTGTTTCAGCCTCCTGAGTAACTGAGGAGTAACTGAGTATAGGCGTGTGCCACCATACCCAGCTAATTAAAAAAAAATTTTTTTTAAATAGAGACAGGGTCTTGCTATGTTGCCCAGGGCTGGTCTAGAACTCCTGGGTTCAAGTGATCTTCCTGCCTCGGCCTCCCAAAGTGTTGGGTTATAGGCATGAGTCACCACGCCAGGCCAGGAATGCCCTATCATAATTCACATAAAGACTCCATGTGGGCTAGCAGGCATGTGAAATGTCTCCAGTGCATCAACAGCCATAGAACTAAGAAGTTATCCTTTTCCCTGTCTTCTCGTACTCTTCATTTCACTTGGGTTTTTTAGCAGTTCAGGAAGCTGGAATGTTTGAATGGGCTTTAGCTTGATACCTTCTTCTCTTTCCCATTTGGCAGATAATACCACTAGTCTGACCGATAAACACCTGGACCCAATCAGGGAAAATCTGGGAAAGCACTGGAAAAACTGTGCCCGGAAACTGGGCTTCACACAGTCTCAGATTGATGAAATTGACCATGACTATGAGCGAGATGGACTAAAAGAAAAGGTTTACCAGATGCTCCAAAAGTGGGTGATGAGGGAAGGCATTAAGGGAGCCACCGTGGGGAAGCTGGCCCAGGTGCTCCACCAGTGTGCCAGGATCGACCTTCTGAACCACTTGATTTACGTCAGCCAGAACTAACCCTGGATGGGCTGTGGCAGCTGAAGCGGACTCCTCGCTTACTGAATAACCCCAGAAAGTTGGCTGCCTCGGAGCATTCAGAATTCTGTCCTCACTGATGGGGGTTCTGTGTCTGCAGAAATATTGTTTTCTGTATGTCATAGCCGGGGAATGGGGAAAGAAGTCTGCAGCAAAGGGGTCTCACTCTGTTGCCCATGCTGGTCTCAAACTTCTGGACTCAAGTGATCCTCCTGCCTCGGCCTCTCACAGTGCTGGGATATCAGGCATGAGCCACTGCGCCCAGCCAACAATCCGCTCCGAGGAAAGCGTAAGCAGGAAGACCTCTTAATGGCGTAGCACCAATCAAAAAATGACTCCTAATTGGGTTTGGAAAGGGAGAGAAGAGATGTCTGAGGAAGGTCATTTTCTTTCAGCTCATGGCATTTCCTAGAATTTTGCTGAAGCAAGAAGAAAAACTCAGAGAACATAAAATCAACTTTTAAAATTGTGTGCTGTCTTCTTCACGTAGGCTCCTGTTATGAACAAAGTACAGTAAAATTCTAAGCCCTGTTCAGAGACTTTTTGAATCACTGCAGCTCATTGCCACGTTACAGAGTCTGTTAACATGGATATCAAATACTGTATCAGTTACTATAGGCTCTAAGAATCACATGCAGTCTTCACTCCATTAAATTATCGATTTTTTAAAAATTAATTGAATTTATATTCAGTTTTCAAATTAACTGAACAGATTTAAAGGGGTACCAAGGAGGGGGGAAACATCAGATTTCCCAGACAGTTGTTGCAAGGAATTGCTACTAACTGTGACTACAGCAGAAATTCTTGATTGACTTTGAAAGTTACTTCCTGGCATTCTGGTACTTTCATCCAGCCTGGGTGCCCTGGAGAGGGAACAGGAAATGCTGATCTCTACGCCTGGGTGAGAGCAGAACCTCGGCTGACACTGTTGAGTGACTTCCTCGGTTTACTCTGTACTGTGAAAGTATTTTCATATTTTTTCTGTGTGCCAGAGTGAAAAAGGACAACTCCTGACTGTGGGAATTGTGCCTGTAGCACCCAACCTTTCAAAATCCACCTGAAACCTAGGGGTGTGGATGAAAGAACTAGAATAGTTCAGAAGACTGAAGCTGGGTGGGCCGCTCAGCGTCTCCACTGGCATTTTGCTAAACAGACAGGGAAGGCCGTGTGCTTAGCTCTCCCCAGAGGGAGGACGAGAAGGGTGTGGTGATGGTCAATCTGGCTGTTGGAACGGATTCTGGTGTCTTGGGCTGATAACAGTGTTGTTGATTCTGACTGTGAACCCCTCAACTCTAGCAGACACATACACGCCCCTGACACGGGGCTGCAGAGCAAGCTCTCAGCCTTGGCACTGTCGGCGTCTCGGGCTGGGTAATTCTCTGTTGTGGGGACTGTCTTGTGCCTTGTAGGATGTTTGGCAGCATCCCTGCCCCTACCCACTAGATGCCAGGGGCACTGTTCTCCCCCCGTCCCTCCCCCAGTTGTGACAACAATGTCTCCAAACATTGTCAAATGGTCCTAGGAAAGGAGAAAATTGCCCCGGTTGAGAAGAGCACTGCTGTAAAGTAATGAGCCTCGGCTCTCCTGTCCACACCGGTCCGGTTACTACTTGGCTGCCACGCAGCCTTGGATCCTACAGCCCAAAAGGGAGAATGGAGGGAGGCTCCAGGCTTTGCTGGAGGGGCCTGGGTGAGTTCCGTTTGCTCCTTGTACCACCATCCAAATGGTGTTCTCAAATCTCTTAGAGTCCAAAGAGGCTGAATAATTAATATTGAAAGGCAAAAGGGCGAGGCATTTTTTAACACACTTTTTAAAATTTTATACCGCAACTACAGGCTACTGATGTGATGTGTGTGTCACTGGGACAGATGGGGGTTCTCCATGGTGCCTCTGCCACGGAGGCTGCCTTTCCTGAGCATAATCCCCTTTTACCCTCCTGCTGCCAAGCAGGAGACGGGATGCTGCTGGTGAGAAGAACACCTCCCTGCCAGTGCCTTTTGGCCCTCAGGATGAGAGGCCTGCAGCAGCACTGCTGTCCCTGCGCCTGGCTCTAGGGCCTTCCCTTCGCCCCCACTCTCTCAGCACCATGGTGGGAAGAACCAGGTTTGCCTGTGAGGAGTTACGTACAAGGCCCAAGCTCCACAAGAACACTGCTGTTAACGGGCAGAGCCAAGTAAGCAGGACGACACAGAGCAGCAAAGGAGAACCGAGACTGTCGGTTCGGAAACAGACATTCACACCCTAGGTTATTACTGGTAATAGAGACCTACTTCCAGCTCCCACAGTCCTGCTTGGTGGATTTTCCACTTGTTGCTACAGTCATCATCTTTGCTTTGGGTCTGTCATGTGAAGTTAGGGTTTCAGGAATAAAATGTGTAATCACAAAATGTTTTAGGCAGTATTTTGAGGTACATTTTAATGAGGTACTTATGAAAGGAAAAGCATTTTCTAAGTATAATAAAGGCATAAATAAAAATAGGAGTGTAAATCTTCGAGATCTTAGAAGCAGCTGATTTCAGAGAAATCACTGAAAGGTTAATGCTACTACAGTGATTTTTACAATATGTAATAATCCAAGTATACGACCAGGTATCGTGGCTCATGCCGGTAATCCCAGCACTTTGGGAGGCCAAGCTGGGAGGATTGCTTGAGGCCATGAGTTGGAGACCAGCGTAGACAACATAGCAAGACCCTATCTCCACAAAAACATAAAAAAAAAAAAAATTAGCCAGGTGTGGTGGTGTATGCCTGTAGGCCTAGCTTCTTGGGAGGCTAAGGTGGACGGATCACTTGAGCCCAGGAGTTTGAGGCTGTAGGGAGCTGTGATCACACCATGTCTCAATCATCATCATCATCCAAGTATAGAGTCCTGAAACTGAGAGCTCAAAACTCCCCTCTGCCACTTTTCAGCTGTGTCACCCCGGACTTGTTCACCATCATTATCCAAGTATAGAGTTCTGAAATTGAGCAGCTCAAAATTACTTTTCAGCTGTGTCACCCAGGTCTTGCTTCCTAACCTTTCTTAGCCTCAGATGCCTCATCTATAAATGGGGAGTGTAATAGCACAAAAGGTTCATGTGAAGATTAAAGAAATACGCATCATAAGATGCGTGGCACAAAAATGGCAGTTTTTAAAACTGCACAATCTTGCTGTATATAAAGAACTGGTTGTCAGGTATGTTACTTAAAAATAGTGACACCAGGCTGGGCGCGGTGGCTCACACCTGTAATCCCACTTTGGGAGGCTGAGGCGGGTGGATCACCTGAGATCAGGAGTTCGAGACCAGCCTGGCCAACATGGCAAAACCTCGTCTCTACTAAAATTACAAAAATTAGCTGGGCATGGTGGTGGGTGCTTGTAATCCCAGCTACTCGAGAGGCTGAGGCAGGAGAATTGCTTGAACCCAGGAGGCAGAGGTGGCAGTGAGCTGAGATTGCGCCATTGCACTCCAGCCTGGGCAACAAGAGTGAAACTCCATCTCAAAAAAAAAAAAAAGGAAAAAAATAGTGACACCAAAAACCTAAAAACTCAGTGCTACTGTTTTGCTTAGCACTAGGGTAACTGGTGTTGAAACTGTACAGACAGCTATTTTTATCATTTCTGAGATGAAACCCCAATCAACATATCAGGAAAAAAGGAAATACTGACCTCACCAAAGATTGCTGAAAGTCAAATGATTAAATTCCACTCAAACATTATATATGTCTCTTTCCTTTCATTCAGGAATTAATGTGATAGAGTTATGTTGAGAGTAGAATATGAAAACTTTTGCATAGTCTGTATTCAGGCCAAAACTGCCTTTACTACTCAAGAAAGTCCAAAGGGCCAGTGAGGACACTGCAGGTGGCAGACATTTCCATGGGTAACACCTACAAGCACTGTGCTCACAGGACTGACTGACACGAAAAAGGTGTCTTGGAGGGAAAGTCATGCAATATGCAAAGAAGCTGTTGTCTCCAATTATTCAAGCCAAGGCTACAACAGTATCTGCCAGTTATTTCCAGTTAAGGCAGAATGATAGACTTAAAGCAATATTGGTTTTTTTCTCCACTGAGCTTTCAATTAGATAATGTCTATAACATTTATAAAGCTGGAATTATATAGTCAAAGCAAAAAACATTAAGTGTGGTAAAACATACATAAAATTACCACTTAAACCACTTTTAGGTGTATAGTTCAGTGGCATTAAGTACACTCACAATGTTATGCAGCCATCACGAAAATCCATCTCCCCAAACTGAAACACTGTCACAAGGAAACACCAACTTTCCATTCCCACTTCCACCAGCCCCCGACGACCTCCACTGTATTCTCTGTCCCTAGAAGTTTGACTCCTCTGGGCACCTTATTATATAAGCGGAACCACACAGTATCTGTCTTTCTGTGACTGGCTAACCTCCCTCAGCATAGTGCCCTCCAGGTTCATGTAGTGGCATGCGTCAGAATTCCGTTCTTTGTTCAGGCTAAAAAATGCTCCATTGCATGCACAGGCAACATTTTGTTTATCCGTGTATCTGTTTTTGGACACTTAAATTGCTTCCACTCTTTTGGCTATTGTGAATAGTGCTGCTGTCAACATGAGTGTAAAAACATTTCTTGTACACACTGTTTTAAATTCTTTTGGGTTATAGACCCAGGAAAGAAAATACTGGATCATATAACTGATTTTCTGAGGAACGACAGTACTGTTCATCACAGTGGTTGCACCATTTTACATTCCCAACAGCAATATACAAGGGCTTCAATTTCTCTACATCTACACCAACAATAATTTCTGGGGGTTTTGCTAGCAGCCATCCTAATGGGTGTGAAGTTGTATAAAGAAAATTTAGATCTCATCATCTCTGAAAAGCAAATACACTTCCACCGTTAGTAGCCGGCCTAGAGCCGGAGCCCCGCGTGGACGCCCACCCAGCGAGGGCGCTATGGTTGGCGGCCTCGACTCCTGGAAAGGCCACGGTCGCTGAGGCGACGAGCGGGGGCGGGGCAGCGCCGACTGGGACACTCAGTCCGGGAGCCAGAGCCAGCACGAGAGGGGACGGTCTATGCAGGTGCAGGCAGTTCCAGGACTGGGAAACCACGAGCCCAGTTTCGGTCGCCCACAGGCAAGCACCCGGCGGGGCGGGGCTTCGGGGCGGGGCTTCGGGGCCGGAAGGGTAGAGGGCAAAGCAGGATGGAGCGGCGGGGTGGGCGGAGCAGGGGGCGAGGCTTCGGGCGGAGTGGGCCGCGGACCGCCCTGGGTCTCAGCGCATGCGCGCTCCCGACGGCGGCGCGACCTGTCACCATGGTGGCTGTGCTGGGTGGCCGAGGTGTGTTGCGGCTGCGGCTGCTGCTCTCCGCGCTGAAGCCCGGGATCCACGTCCCACGGGCCGGACCCGCGGCCGCCTTCGGGTAATGGCGGCCACCCCGCGCCTGGGATCCCCAGCATCCGCGCGCTCGAGGGGCGGCGGGAGGGGCGCGTGCCGACCGCAGGAGTTCCGGGCGTGTGGGCACTGGGCGTGGGCGAGGTCCGGCCGCCTTGCCGCCCTTTGTGCCGCGAGACCCCGATCTTGGGGTGCAGCCGCGCTTGGTGCGCGAGTCCCTCGATCGTGCATGCGCCTCGGTCAGCCTAAGTTCAAGGAGTCCGGAGCAGTGGAGGCCTTGGGCCGTGGAGTGCAGCCCCTCAGTGTGCAGACCAGAGAGACCCAGGGAGTTACTTTTGTCCGTAGTATAGACTCACCCGTGACGAAGCACGGATTAGAATCCCAACACCCTTATTAGTCCATTGCTCTGTCCAAAGTCCACACTGTAAGGGCATAAGGACAATAATCTCTTCTTCCTCCTATGTCAGAAATCAGCCTGAGAAGACTGTGCCCATTAGCTCTCTAGTACCGCTAAGGCCTTAATCACGGGTCCCGAGAGCCCTAAGTCTTCTCTTTGCTTGCTGATCTCGTACCTTAATGTGCAAAAGAATCACATTGGGAACTGTGAAAATTCAGAATCCTGGGCCTCACTCCCAGAGGATCTGATCTACATGTGTGGAGATGCCCAGGAACCTGCTTTATTCTCATTTGTCGTCCCACCTCTCCCCCATTTCAGGTAAAACAATAACAAAAAATTGGATTAATTTCTGACCTTCCGTCTTGAAAATGAATGCTCTTGGTCCCCAGAGATACTGGGCAGAAATGTGGATACAGCGGCATGAAGCCTGTTTTACTTTATTGTCTACATACATCCCTACACACATGCAAGCGCACGTATACAACGAACGTACACAGTGCATGTGCGCAGTTGACTGTTCATGGGCTATTTCCATGAAGTCGATACTAGATAGGTACACAGCGTTTAGAACTTTACTTGATCCAACATAGAAACTTTTAGTTTGAAAACTTGATTTAGAAGGAGAAAAGAGGGCAAAACTGACCAACTTTTAAAATTTCATATTGCAATCGACTAGCTCCTTTAATTTTAGAATTATTATAAGATGGTCAGGGCTATTTTGATAGATGGAAAAACATGTCAATGGCTACAGCTGTATAAATTAACAGTGAAGATGATTATTTTTTCCATTTCCTGTTTGTAGAAAGGCATTGAAATAAGTAAGGTTACTGTAATTGTACATATATATATATATATATATATTTTTTTTTTTTTTTTCTTGAGACTGACTCTCATGCTACTGCCCAGGCTGGAGTGCAGTGGTGTGATCTTGCTCACTGCAACCTCCACCTCCCAGGTTTAAGCGATTCTCGTGGTCTCAGCCTCCCAAGTAGCTGGGATTACAGGCATCCGCCACCATGCCCGGCTATTTTTTGTATTTTTAGTAGCGACGGGGTTTCGCCATGTTGGCCAACCTGGTCTCGAACTCTTGACCTCAAATGATCCACCCACCTCGGCTTCCCAAAGTGCTGGGATTACAGGCGTGAGTCACCGCTCTTGGCCTACCAATATAGTTCTGATAGGTTATTTAATGGTTGAGGAAGGCCCCATTCACCAAGATGCATTGCAGGTCATTCTTCCTAAAATATCTCTGAAAAAACAGGTTTCTCTGGATTTCGTACTGCCATTTTATACATGCAGCTGCAAGTTGATATGACATATAATCTGGAAAAACAAGCAGTGGTGTTAGTTAATCCTGAAACGCAGCTGTAGCTCAGTGTCAGTAGGTAAAAGGATTCATGTAAAAACTTAGCTTCAGAATAGCCAGTGCCCAACCGACAATTGACTTGTGTTCCAAAAACTTGTTTGTAAGTCTGCTGTTTGGAACTTTGACCCTTATTTCAAAATCTGTAAGGTGATTTATTCCTGGGTCAGGTCAAAAAAAAAGCTTTTCTACCTGAAATTGTGTATTATGTACAGTTATAGATATTAATAATTCACATAACCTAACAATCTTCCTAAAAAACATTTTCCAAGTTCAACCTTGGGATGCCCTGCCAGAGAATCAGAGCCTGTCCTGCTGACGCCTGCACCACACTGTATCTGGCAGTCAGAGTGTGGCCCCAGTGCCTGAGCCCTCTTAGGACTCTGTTCAGCCATGAGGTTAGAGAGGAATCATGGCCTCTGGAGTTCTGATGGCCCCGTGGCCACTTCCTAGCTATGTGAATGTGGGCAGATTGTTCAACCTCTCTGAGCCTCTTGCCTTGCAGCGTTTTTGTGAGCATTTGAAACAATGAATGTAAAAGCCTGGGGATATAATAAACATGAAGTAATTAGTAGGCACAATGGGAATATTTATATAATAGTACAATATATAAGAAATGTAGGCCGGCGTGGTGGCTCAAGCCTGTAATCCCAGCACTTTGGGAGGCCGAGATGGGCGGATCACGAGGTCAGATCGAGACCATCCTGGCTAACACGGTGAAACCCCGTCTCTACTAAAAAAATACAAAAAACTAGCCGGGCGAGGTGGCGGGCGCCTGTAGTCCCAGCAGCTCGGGAGGCTGAGGCAGGAGAATGGTGTGAACCCGGGAGGCGGAGCTTGCAGTGAGCCAAGATTGCGCCACCGTACTCCAGCCCGGGCAACAGAGCGAGACTCCGTCTCAAAAAAAAAAAAGAAATGTAAAAATAATTCATCAAGATTCACGTAAATTCAAGCCCTGAAAGTAGCAAATACTTTATTGTAGGCTACTTTGCAAAACATACACAAAAGAAATAGCTGAACATATAATATTGTAATAGCAGTTTCTTTTTTTTTTTTTTTTTGAAATGGAGTCTCTCTCTGTCGCCAGGCTGGCGTGCAGTGGCACGGTCTCGGCTCAGTGTAATCCTCACCTCCTGGGTTCCAGTGATTCCCCTGCCTCAGCCTCCAGAGTAGCTGGGATTATAGGCGCGCACCACCATGCCCAGCAAATTTTTTTTGTATTTTAGTAGCGACAGGGTTCCACCATGTTGGCCAGGATGGTCTGATCTCCTGACCTCATGATCCACCCGCCTGGGATCCCAAAGTGTTGGGATTACAGGTGTGAGCCACCACGCCCGGCTGATCCAAAGCTATCTTAACCATAGAAATGAATTTCTCAGAGGAATAGGTCAGGAATCATAATAAGTAAATGGCAGGGTCAGTATTGCCGTTGTTTGCTGGCTTCATTGATGCCCCTCTAATAATATTTCTGTAGATAAGGAGCTTAGAGTTTGGTCAGACTTATTACTACCCAACTCTGTCTTTTATTTTTCCAGAAATTGTGTGTTAAGATTAGATGTACCTGTATTCAACACATCTGTTTCCACGTTTGTTTCTTTTTTACTTGAGATTGGCAAATAAGATTAAACCAAAAGAGAAAACAGGACCTCGTGTTTTCAAAAGGGCTGTGTTTCAGTTATCTTTTGACTAAGGGCAGAGGTAGCGGTAGGGAGTATGTAAAAGAAAAAGATGAGCCTAGCGCGCCTGTAATCCCAGCACTTTGGGAGGCCGCGGCGGGCGGATCACGAGGTCAGGAGATCAAGACCATCCTGGCTAACGCAGTGAAACCCCGTCTCTACTTAAAAAAAGAAAAAGAAAAAGAAAAATTAGCCGGGCGTGGTGGCGGACGCCTGGAGTCCCAGCTACTCAGGAGGCTGAGGCAGGAGAATGACGGGAACCCGGGAGGCGGAGCTTGCAGTGAGCCAAGATCGCGCCACGCACTCCAGCCTGGACAACAGAGCAAGAAAAAAAAAGAAAAGAAAAGGAGATGGTGGTTGATTTCATTGTGTTGGCACTCCACCAGGAGAAGAGGAGCGCCTCCTTCCGGCATCTGTCCTGACCTGCCATCATGTTCCTCCTGTGCTTCACTCAGTCATCTGTCTGATAAGCTGTGGGAAGTTTGGTGGAGCCTGGTCCTGGTGCGGGGGCCGTCTGCGTGCCCCACTGGTGTATATCCCAGGACAGTCTGGCGCTCCTGGAAGAGCAGCTGAGGAGAGGTTAATCAGAACACCTGTTCAGCGCACATAACTCAGGCAGGACAGACACTGGCATTGTGCCTGTCCTGAGGCCTCCTGTACTAAGCTGGTCCAGTTAGATGCTGGATCCTAGGAGGCCTTAGGCCAAGGCGGGTGAGTGGCAGGAAGGAGGGCTCTTGAGATGGAGGCTTATGGACAGGGCTACTTAGTAGTTGACACAGACATATTTTAACATTTTATAAAACAGTAGGCCTTATCAGTGCAGATGGGCAGTCTTGACTATGGCCCTCCTGCGCAGGCCAGACAACACAGGATACCCTACAGCTAAGGAACAGCGTGGAGATCAGCACCTTGAGACCAGTCTCATCTTTGGGAATGTCACCAAGGCTGCTGAAGGTCTGGGTGGGTCCTCTGGGTCTGCTGAGGTGCAGACGAGTGACTACAGGGTTTTGGCCCCTGATGTCCACCCTCATTTCACTGTACCAAGCTCCACACCAGCCTGCGCTTGAGTACCCTTGGCTTCCAGCTCATCAGCGTGTGCCATGAGCCTCTGTGGCCGATTCAGCAAGCTTGCTAGGGTTTTTGTAGGGTGAGCCCCAGGCTGGTCACGATGGCATATTCAAGCATGAGAGTACAGTTCAGATTGGCAGTCTAGTAAAGAAGATTCAAACTCATGTCACTGTTCAGAATTGGAAAAATCAGAATAACCCAAGGAGCCTGCGAGGCGATGTGGAAGCGACTCATTCGTATACAAAGACAGTTTTATCATCTTAAATGATTTTCCTTTGGGGGTGCATTTTTAAACATTTCTCAAGTTGTATTTTTTAATTGACATAATTGTACCTGTGTATGGGGTATATAGTGATGTTTCCATACATACAAAGCGTAGTGATCAGATCAGTGTAATTGGCATATCCATCGTCTCAAACACTTCTCATTTCTTTGTGTTGGGAGCACTCAGTATCTTCCTTCTAGCTATTTGAAAAGATCTCTCATTGTTAGCATCCCACAGTGGCACAGAACACTAACACTTATTCCTCCTGTCTACCTGGAATTGTGAATCAACTAAGAAATCTTCCGTCTCCCCTTTCCCCCTGTGGGGATGGGTTTTTTCTCTTCTAGAACCTCGGTAACCTCTGCCAAAGTGGCTGTGAATGGCGTTGAACTGCATTATCAGCAGACTGGAGAGGGAGGTCATGCAGTCCTGCTACTTCCTGGGATGTTGGGTCTGGACACTTTTTAATGGAATGCTTTTGCATGCTGTAAAATCTATGATGCATTCACAATACTAGATGCCAAATGTTGATTATTAGTTTTAGTGCTTTTCTGAAATGTTTTAATATTTGCTACAATCAAACTTAAATGACTTAGAAAGGTAGGTAACTTTCTACTGCTGTTCAGAATTGAATTTTTTATTCCTTTAGTAAAGTACCCAGTTTTCCTATGCGAGTACACTATGAAATCACAGTTGCCCATAATTTGGGAGGGTGACAGGGGTCAAGGAAAGGGGTGTGGGAAGAAGGGGTAGATAAAGGAAGAAGGTGAGTGGGTAATCAGTCATCCTAGTTTGCCTGGCATGGGGGGATTTTCCAGGATGTGGGACTTTCAGTGCTAAAACTAGGGTGGATTGGTCACTTGTGGTTGATAATATATTCAGTTAGAGTAAGAGGTAAGAAAAAAAACTCAGTTTAAATCTTGTTAGAAATCAGAGTTAGACTGGCATATTACCCTCTCTCGATGTATGGGCCATAATAAAACCTACTGGATCTCAGTCTCATTTTCGTAACTGGAGTTCAGATGTAGAAAGTTCAAGGGAAAAATTTCCAGTGATTCCAGGACATCCCAAATCTGGTTTTAAGGGCATTAGTATTGTTGCTTTATTTTTGATTTGGTAAAATAATCCTAATATTTAATCTCAGTATCGATGGGGGATTGGTTCCAGGAAGCCCTCAGATCCCAAAATCTGAGGGTCCTGAAGTCCTTGATATAGAATAGCGCAGTATTTGCATGGAAGCTACATGTCCTCCTGTATACTTTAAGTCATCTCTAGATTACTTACCATATCTCATGCAATGTAAATGCTGTGTAAATAATTGTTATCTCGGATTGTTTAGGGAATAATGACAAGGAAAAAACCCTGTACATGTTCAGTACCGACTCAACCATCCATTTCTTTCCCCAAATATTTTTGTTCTGAGATTGGTTGAATCCACAGATGTGGAACCTGTGGATAGGAAGGCTGACTGTACTTATTTCTTTGTGATTTGCTTCTTTCGAAAAGTGAAGTGCTGAAAAGGTCCCACTTGACTGAGCCTCAGCGGGCCGTGGCACCGCTGCAGCTAGCGAGGCGCATGCGTCCAAATGGTGCTGGGCACCTTTGTTTGCCTTAGGCTGATGAATGAGGACATTGACTCTCATGGCTGATGTGGAGCTAAAGTTATCTGTAAAAGCTTTTCCCATCTCAGCTTTCCATTATTTCAGTGTTGCAGTCATTGTCCAGGTGCTAAAAACTTACCAATTTAATTTTTTTTTTTTTTTTTGAAAGGGAGTCTCACTCTGTTGCCCAGGCTGGAGGCAGTGGCACGATCTCGGTTCACCACAACCTCTACCTCCCAGGTTCAAGCGATTCTTCTGCCTCAGCCTCCCGAGTAGCTGGGAGTACAGGTGTGTGCCACCATGCCTGGCTGATTTTGTATTTTTAGTAGAGATGAGGTTTCACCACGTTGCCCTGGCTGGTCTCGAACTGCTGACCTCAGGTGATCCACTTGCCCCGGCCTCCCAAAATGCTGGCATTACAGGCGTGACCCACTGTGCCTGTCCCCAATTTAATTTTTGTTTATGTAAAATATTAGCATGATTTCAACATAAAAAAACAAATGGACCAGAGGAGATTCTCTCTCCTGTCCCATCCTCAGCACCCAGTTCCCCGCCCGACAAGCCTCTCAGGTGTCACATGCTGATAACTATGTACTTCTATTCCCTAAACGCTTTTTAAAGTTTTATATTCTTGGCACTGGTCTTCAAATGTGTACGTGTATGCCAGGAGCAAATGCCTTCTTGTTTCTGAAATTGGTCTTTTAGACTGTTCTTTTTTCCCATCTTCTCACCTCCTGCCCCTCCTTCAGGGTATTTCCCTCACCAGAACCCTCCAGGTCAGAGGCAGAAGAGAAGCCTCAGGGGTCACAGCAGCAGATGTGGGCTGGAGATCCATTCATTTGGTTTTGGCTTGAATTTTCTGATGATTTACTTGATCTCGAGAAAGATATATCTTGCCAGGAAAAATGATAGGCCTTGACGATGTTAAATGATCCTGCACCACCTTGAAAGATATTTTCTAATACAGTTTATCAGGCAAAGTGGTTAGTAGTCATTTGTGGCCTGAGATAGAAGTCCTCAGAAATCAGCAGACTTCACTGATAAAATGCTGACTTGCCCCTGGACTGGGCTCTGTGAGAGTGGCCTTCTGCACTGTGCACAGTAGGTGTGAACACACCACACCTACAGTGACCCCGTGGTGGGCTGTGGACTAGCAGGCCAAGCTCCCTGCAGGCCCACTAATAGAATTCGGCTTTTAGCATAGGCTGTTTCATACTCTTCTGATGAAACTGATGTGGTTTTTTTCCTCCACACCCCTTCTGCATTTCAGTGTTTTCATTTAATTTTTCTGGTTTTTAATTATAACTACAAAATAAAATCTTTATTCACCTTAGCTTAGTAAAAAAAAAAAAAAAAATTTAATTCTGGAATTTTAGAATTCCACTTTGAATAACTTGGACCAAATCTCATAAACTTGTTTGCAGATATCATAGAGATCCCGCTCATGTGTAAGTCATTGTTTTAAGAAGAAAAGAGAAACCAGAAGCATATCTGTAAATTAATTTGTATACAGTTTCATTAATTCTTTTCTTTAGGAAAGGAAGATTAAGCCAAAGAGATTTCGAAAGTGCTGAAGTAATACAGAACCAAAGGAAGACCCAGGGCCTCTGTCCTTCTCAAAATAGCCACCAGGGGGAGCTCGGAGGCGGGCCTGCGCTCCGCCGGGAAAGGAAGCCCGCCTCCGTTTTTTTGTTTTTTTTTTTTTTTGGAGACTGTCTTGCTCTGTGCTCAGGCTGGAGTGCAGTGGCAGGATCTCGGCTCACTGCAACCTCCGCCTCCGGGTTCAAGCAATTCTCCTGCTTCAGCCTCCTGAGTGGCTGGGACTATAGATGCACGCCGCCACGCCTGGCTAGTTTTGTTAGTTTTGTATTTTAGTAGAGACCCAGGCCGGTCTCGAACTCCTGAGCTCAGGCAGTCCGCCCACCTCAGCCTCCCAAAGTGCTAGGATTACAGGCGCACCCGACTAGCCTGCCTCCTTTCTTTGAGTAGATGGATTAAGTCATTGCAAGGCTGCTTTCCTGATTATATTCTGACCGCTTTGAGCAGAAATTAGTTACTTTGCTTTAAGATTGTTATTGCTTCTGTTTTCACTGTAATGTGTTTTGACAGGTGATAAGCGATCACCTGAGGGTAACCAAGTGGCTGTTTTTAGGAAGTGGAGAGACAGATTTTGGACCTCAGCTCAAGAACCTCAATAAGAAGCTCTTCACAGTGGTCGCCTGGGATCCTCGAGGCTATGGACATTCCAGGCCCCCAGATCGCGATTTCCCAGCAGACTTTTTTGAAAGGGATGCAAAAGATGCTGTTGATTTGATGAAGGTGGGTCTCTTAGGGAAGGGCCAGGGGAGGAAGGGTGGCTGGGCCTGTGTTCATTTATTTTGTTTAAATCTTGTTGTTATATCTTTCTACAAAATAATACCATGTGATTGCTATAGAAAACTCAAAGAGTTGAAATAGGTATAAAGAAGAAAGTGGGAATAGTCCACAGTCCAGCTCTCCAGAGACACTACCAAGTCTCGTTGGCGCTGCTTTCTGGCCAGTCTTATTCTATCACAAACGCAGTTTCGTATTGATGCCATCGTACTACACCTAACGTTTTTCTAACTTACTATTTTTATTGAACAATTTTTCAAGGAAGTAACTTTCATGTCAATAAATATGCATTTATACTAGTTGTATGATAGGCACATATTACTCCATTGTATGGATGTACTGTATCTTATTTCACCGATTTTCTTTCTTTTTTTTTGAGACAGAGTCTTGCTCTGTCACCTAGGCTGGAGTGCAGTGGCGCGATCTTGGCTTACTGCAACCTCTGCCTCCCGGGTTTAAGCGATTGTCTTGCCTTAGCCTCCTGAGTAGCTGGGATTACAGGCACACACCACTACACCCAGCTAATTTTTGTATTTTTAGTAGAGACAGAGTTTCATCATGTTAGCCAGAATGGTCTTGATCTCCTGACCTCCTGATCCACCCACCTCAGCCTTCCGAAGTGCTGGGATTACAGGCATGAGCCACCACACCTGGCCTGTTTCACCAGTTTTCTAATAGTAGATAATTAACTTAATTTTTAAGTTGTCTTTTTCTGCTGTTATAAATAGCAGGTAGTGAATATTCTGTTGCTCCTGGCCATTTTCATTTTTTTTTGCTACTATAAACAGTACTGTTGTGGACATCCTGGACTGAGCTCCTGGCACACGTGGGAGAATTTCATACAAATTCAGGAGACAATTTGCTAGGTGATAGAAGTTCCAGATGTTCATTTTACAGGATAATGCCACAGTAGTTACACCATTTTATGGTCCAGGCAGCAAATATCTTGGACTAATATTAATTCTTTACCTTTAATTTTCCAGTCATTCTATTCTTTCTTCTTGGCAGCCTCTCGTCCATTTTCCCTGCCAAACACATGTGCAGACCTTGGCTGATTCACCCGCGGGCTCACATAACCTCCCCATGACGCTGTTCTCTGACGGCCTGGCTCTTGCCACTTCTTCCCGCAGTTGCTTTACCAGACACCCTGCTTCACTTCATCCAGCAGAGCCCAGGGTCCCCTCTCTGATCTATGGAACTGTTCTCAGGGTCCTTGCTCAGGCATGCATATGCACTCACACACACACACGCACGCTATATTTGTTGTATCTAAGTAGTTGGTCTCCATTGATTCTAGTTCCTTGAGTTTTTTATCCAACCAGAAGATGTAGTTCCCTCCTAATTCAAACCCATACCATATACTCAGGTTTTTTGACAATTTCCACTAAAACTAATTAAGAGAAAACATGATGTCATCAAATGGTGGACTCTAGGATTTTTCTTTTCTGACTAATTGATACTCCAGACCCACACCTGTATTGATTCTGATAATTAGTGACTCAGTTTCTTTTAACAGACAGGAGCAATAACTTGTGCTATGCGTTTTATCGTATGATCACAGGCGCTGAAGTTTAAGAAGGCTTCTCTGCTGGGGTGGAGTGATGGAGGCATAACCGCACTCATTGCCGCTGCAGAATATCCGTCTTACATCCACAAGATGGTGATCTGGGGCGCCAATGCCTACGTCACCGACGAAGACAGCATGATATACGAGGGTAGGTTCTGCGAATGGAGATGCTGGGACAGCAGATCCTTCCCCTCTCTCCGCATCTCATCTCTTGTTGTGAGATATGTTGACAAGTCATATCTCTTCTGCTTCTAGTTCTCAACTCTCAGGTAGGAATAATAACGAGTTCTCAGAAAAGTAATGCAATTTAACCAGTCTGAGTTTTAAAGCTTTCTGTTTCCAGGAGTGAAACTTCATGGCTCAGGAAAAGGCTCAGGAAAATCACTATTTCCATTTACTACTACTGATAATGAACTTTAAGGAAGGAGGGAGTGGTGTGAAGTGTTATTGATAACCTCATTGAAAATAATGTGAGGCCAGGCACAGTGGCTCATGCCTGTAATCCCAGCACTTTGGGAGCCCAAGGCAGAAGGATCTCTTGAGCCCAGGAAGTCGAGGCTGCAGTAAGCCATGACTGTGCCACTGCACTTTTGCCTGGGTGACAGGAGTGAGAGAGAGAGAGATAGGAGGAGGAAAGAAAATAATGTTGAGTGTGGAAAAGAATCACTGGATTCAAATATGAAACCTTTTAAAATAATTTCTGTGCTGTTTGCATGCTTTAAGGTTGTCCTTCAAGCCTGTCTTTGAGTTTTTTTTGTTTTTGTTTTGGTTTTTTTGAGATGGAGTTTCGCTCTTGTTGCCCAGGCTGAAGTGCAGTGGCGTGATCTCAGCTCACTGCAACCTCCTCCTCCTGGGTTCCAGCGATTCTTCTGCCTCAGCCTCCTAAGTAGCTGGGATTACAGGCATGCACCACCACGTCTGGCTAATTTTGTATTTTTTAGTAGAGACGGTGTTTCTCCTGGTTGGTCAGGCTGGTCTCGAACTCCCGACCTTGGCCTCCCAAAGTGTTGGGATTACCGGCGTGAGCCACCGCCCCCAGCCTGAGGTTTTTACAGGCACTGGAATAGGGGCCAGCGAACTGTAGCCTGTGCGTTACACCTAGCCTGCCTCCCACTTCTGTGCAGCCCATGTACCAATCAAGGTGGCTAGTGCTGTGAGTCACAGAGACCAAGCTGGGGTATCCCTTTATCACCCAGCATTGCTGCCCCAGACCTGCACTGGTGGTCACTACACAGGGGCGACTAGTCATGGAATTTCAGTCAGCAGCTCAGGAGTTGCTTAGCCTCCAGCAAGCTGCCCACATTGAGATGACCAGGCTCTTGGGAGGAGCGAAGGGTGCACCAGGATCTAGGGGTTGCTGGGACAAGAAGTGAACCTGAGCTGCATTACCTTACTACCCCCACCTGCCAGCCTGGCTCACCAGGACCCTCTTCCTCAGGCCGCTAGCTTTTGTCCCGAGTGTGATCTCGTGGATCCCAGATGGCCTGCCCCAGCCACGTAGGACTAGGTGTGTCGGGTATTTTCTCTCCTCGTGTGTGAGTATCTGCATAATGTCTCTGATTTTGTTTCTTGGCCAGCAGAACCTAAAATGTGCATTTACTCTGGCCCTTTACATAAAAGGTGTACAGATCTCTTCGCTAGAATATCACAAGTCTAGTGTTTTTCAGCTCTTCTGCAATTCACATGACTTTGAAGTAAGCTACTTAGTGGCAGTGTTCTATTGTAGAATCGTAGTTCTTCACAGTCTTTCTGTGTTTTAAATGAATATGAAGCTTTTATGGTGAGTCTGATGTGGTTGCCAGTCCTGTCTGTGCTCCTGCTTTTCCTTGTTTTGCTCCTGCCTGGTGTCCGTCTTGTGCAGAGTAAGCCATTCCGCTCTGTTACGGATCTGTCTCCTCCCGCGGCCTCTAGGACAGGCTGCCTTGAGTTCTTCCTCCCTCTCCTGTGTCCTTGAATTCTCTCCACTGGGTCAGTCCTCTCAGCCTGCAAAAGTGGGCATAATTCTTCCTCCAGAAAGTTGCCACTCCTACCTGTATTTGCTATCTTCCCATTCTTTATTCTTTCCCACAAACTTATGGAGAGAGCCACCTGCGTTCCCTGCTTCTAGGGATCCTCCTCTCCTTCCTTCTTTAGTCCATTCTGCCCCATCTCCCTCTCTGGCCCTTTCTAGCCCCCTCTACTGAAATTCTTCTCACTGACCCCTGCCCACTTGTTCTTTCCCATAATCTATCTCAGTTCATGGCCTGCAGATGACCTGGCATCCAGGCAGAGCCCCAGACGCATCCCTCGAGGGCAGAGGGCAGAGTCCTCTTCTGCCCTCTTCATTTGCCCACCTTGCCCTGTTCATTGAACTGCGATGCTTTCTGTTGTCACCACGTGCATACTACCCCTCCGGTTATCCTCACCTCTCTTCCTCCCCCCATCCTCCTGGTTTAGGCCGCTAACTTATGGTAGTTTGTCCTCCATAGGAGAGCTTCCTTTGTAAGGCAAAAATCGAATCACTTAATTCTACTAGAGGACTTAAAATCCTTCACTAACCAGCAAAGTCTGTGCTGATTGGCTGGCCCCTCCCACCAGCCCCCTCACTGGGCCTTCTCCCATCTCCCCTTTCTCCTCATCCTTCCGGTGCCTCTCCCACATGGAATAAACGGCCATTCCCGGAACAAGCTACCCCCTCATGCCTCTTCGCCTTTGCAACTGCTGCTGTGCCACCTCACACCAGCCTTCCCCTCAGCCACATCCTCTGCCGGGGCGTATTCACCCCGACACAGCTCCTTGGGGCTCAGCATCTGGGAAGGCCTCCCGGAGCCCTGAGACCTGGCGGTGCTCTCCCTCCTGGACCCTGCCACACAGTGCACATGCCTGTATCACGGCCCTTCATCCTGGACACTGTCGTCACTCACTCCCTTGCCTCGGTCACTGCAGTGGGAACTCACCACGTGCAGTTGCTCTGACTTTCCTTTCTTTATGAAGGCAAGAGTCTCTCAGTAGCACGCACTCTTTACTCTCTGACATCTCTCTACTTCCCCTCCTGGCCACCCTTTCTTGCTCATCCCCCATTCTCTCCTAGCTTGTGTCAGGATGGCTGCGGCCCGCCAGTCTGCTGTAACCGAGCCCCCACCGTGCACCTCCTCTTGGCTCCTTGGTCATTCTGCAGCATTTGGGAACATGCTCATGATGTGTGCGCCATTGGTCACGCCCCGCTTCTCGAAGCTTTCTCTGTCTGGAAATTCTTGCCACCGTCTTCTCCCAACTTCCCCCCCTCTCTCAGGCTGTTCCCTGGCTGACATGTGCCTGCTCCCCCATGTGGGCCACAGTGTTGGGTCCTCCAGTCATCACCCTCGGTGCTCTGCTCCCCTCTCACCCTCACACCTGAGTAGCTTCACTCAGCTCCTTGCTTCACCTAACTCCCAAACCCCACATATTTGACTGTTTTTTTTTTTAAGAGACAAGTTCTCACTGGGCGTGGTAGCTCACACCTGTAGTCCCAGCAGTTTGGGAGGCTGAGGCAGGAGGATCACTTGAGCCCAGGAGTTCAAGACCAGCCTGGGCAACATAGCAAGACCCCGTGTCTACAAAAAATACAAAAATTAGCCAGGCATGGTGGCACGTGCCTGTAGTCCCAGCCATTTGGGAGGCTGAGGTGGAGGATCACCTGAGCCGGGGAGGTTGAGGCTGCAGCGATCTGTGATTGCACCACTGCACTGTAGCTTGGGTGACAGAGGCAAGACCCTGTTCCAACAACAACAAAAAAAAAAAAAAAAAAAAGAAAGGAAAGAAAAGAGTTGAGTTCTCACTATGTTGCCTTATTCAACTTTTTATTCAATTTTCTTATCTGGTTGTCTCATACATACTTTAAATTCAGTCTGTCTAATACTGTATTCATGATCTTCCCTCTAGGCCTGTCCCTTCTGCTACATTTCTTGTCTTTATAAATAATACTCACCGGAATATACTTTCTCCCTCAAAATAATATTTTAATTACTATTTATTGAGTGCCTGCCATGAGCTAAAGTCTATAACCATGTGTTATCCCTGTAAGATCTCTGATACTCAGCCTGCTTGTCAGGTGAAAAACAGGGGCTCACAAAAGTGAGGAAACCCTCCAGACCACATCCCCCACACTGCAGCCGTCAGCCCGCTCCGCTCCTCTGCTGGGCTCTGAGTGGACCCATCTTGCCCTCCCCCTCTCTCCCTCCCACCAGGCTCCCGCCAGCCTCGTTGGTCCCGCCTGGGCTGATTCTGTGCCTCTCCAACCGGTCCAGGTCCTTGCCTCCTACCAGTCTGCCTTCCATGATGCTCTGAGAGCAATTCGGCAATATGTGTATCTCATGGTATCTTACTTTCAGCCTTCCAGGACTCCCCATGACTTTCGTGATAAAGTTCAGGCTCCTTCACTTTGCTCACGGAATGAGTGGCCCGGCCTCTGCCTCTCCATGTCCCCTCCCCCCACTTTCCCCTCCCAACCACCAGTGTCCAGCCATCCGAGACCACCTGGCCCCCTGCAGCACGTGGCGGGCTCCTGCCTCCTTGTGTGGGCCCTTCCCGCTCCCTTCCCACTCCTTCACTTGTTTGCTGACTTCCCTTCTCCCAGAATGGCCCAACCACTCCATCCTCTAGGAAGCCCTCACCGCTGCCACCCGCTCTCCGTTGCCCGTGTGGGCACACAGGCCACTCTGCTGCAGACGGACAGCTGGCTCTTGTGCCTGTCTCCTGGGGTGCAGGAGCAACAGTATCTCCCCAGGGTCTAAGTCCATGAGTGCAATTGCTGAGTGTTGTGTACAGATATACTGCATTACAAGTGACAAATTATTTTCCAGCAAAATAAATTTACACTTCCACCAGCAATAGATGAGATTCCTTAACTTTTACCTCGTCAACAAAAACTTGAAATTCTCAGACTCCTTAATTCACTGGCCAATCAAATGGGTGTCAGATGTTATCTTATTGGGGTCTTAATTTGCATTTCGTATTACTAATAAGATTGAAAAACTGTGTTTATCCACCATTTGAGTTTCTTCTGTATTATATCTATTCATGTATTTTTATTGGCTAAAAACTTTTTATTACGTAATAATTGATACGTGCAATACAGTATGTTTAGGTATACAGTATGAAATGTAACAATGAAACAACCCCGACTCTCCACCCAACTCAGCACCAGAACATGTTATGCCAGTGTTACTGCTGTGCAGTTTTAAGAAAATACTCTAATCCTAATTAATAACCCCTTTTAGGGTAACTGTGTTGCAAACACCTTTTCACAGTGGGTGGCTTGCCTTTTTATGGACAGAAGTACTTAATGAAAGGAAATGCCACAATGTTTTATTTTTCTTTTCCTTTTTCTTTTTCTTTCCTTTTTTTTTTTTTTTTTTTTTTTTGAGACAGGGTCTCACACTATTGCCCAAGCTGGAGTGCAGTGGCACCATCTCAGGTCACTGCAACCTGCTCAACATCAAACTATCCTTCTGCCTCAGCCTCCCAAGTAGCTGGCACTACAGGCATGTGCCACCACACCTGGCTAATTTTTGTATTTTTTGTAGAGACGGGGTTCCGCCACATTGCCCAGGCTGGTCTCAAACTCCTGGACTTAAGTGATCCACCCACCTCAGCCTTCCGAGGTGCTGGGATTACAGGTGTGAGCCACCACACCCGGCCTCACAATGTTTTGTTTTCTCATTGGTTTGACTGATTTTGTTTGGTTTTAGATCCACCAACATGTTTGCCTGTTTGTTTACTCACCTGTTCTTTCTTCACAAATGTTCCTTCTAAACGCATTTATCCTCTCTTTTTCCTGAAGTTATTTTTAGAAGTTACTTAAGGGCAGCCTGTTAATGGTCAACAGTTTTTACCAACAAGTGTCTTTTCTTTCACCCACCTTTTCTGCAAGTCTGTTTAGCTGAGTGTGGAAATGGAAGCGGAAAATCATCGCCTCCCCCATTCTGCGGTCTTCTGCCTCCCATCATTGCTGTTGAGATGTTTCCTGTCCGCCTACGTGGTTCCTGCTTCGGAGTGATGTGTCTTAACTCTCTGGCTGTTTTTCGCATTTTCTCCTTACCTTTGATATATTGCTGTTTTAACATATTCTGTCCAAGTGCAGATTTCATTTTACTTATCCTGTTTGGAATATATTGCATTTTTGTTTGTGGATTCTTTGATTCATTTCGAAAAACACTCCCACCCATTATTTCTTCAAGTAGGCATCTCGTTCATTCTCCTTATTCTCTTCTTCTGAGACGAGTGGACTTTTGTAGACCTCGTCTTTCCGTCTTCCGTATCTCTTCTTCATCTTCTTGTCTCTACCTGGTGTTCTGCATAATTTTTTAAGATGTCTCTTCCAAGTTTCCAGTTTTTCCATCAACTTTATAAAAATCCTGTTTGTTTCGTGACCTTTGGTTAGGAGCTAATATTTGCTTACTCTTAATCTGAAAACCAAACGGTGAGCATAAATCGAGAGCGCTTTCCTTCCGAGAAGATTTGCATTTGCTGCTCTTGGGAACCACAGGATCATACCAGGTTGGGGCCATTTTTAGCCCAGCTTAATCCAGGAGTCTCAGGTTGGGCCCCCAGCCTGCCCGTGAACACTGCGTCTCCACCCAGAGCAGGCCTGCCTTTGGAGCTGGCTTATTTCCTTTGCTGTATTTTCAGGGTTCTCTTTCTCATGTGCAGACACACTCACACACACTCACACCCTGGTTTCCATTAACCACGGCAACTTCAGCAATGCCACAAAATTCTGTTTTGTTAAAGATCTAGTTATTCCCCTGGAAAAAGGCTTTCAGAGGGTGCGGTCTGCCATACAGCCACAAGCAGAAGCATGTGCGGGGCCATTTTACTGGCCATCTTCACACTGTCTTGCTTCTCTCTCCCTTACCCCCACCCCCAAACGTTTTCTTCTTCCCACATCTTCTCCCCATCTCTTCACCCTGTCTCTAGTACCTCACTCAAGTCTTTTCATTCTTGTGCAGAACAGTTCATCCTCTTCAGCCTTTATCCTCAACTCACGCGGGGCCTACCTCTGAGTATTTAAGCCAATTAGCAGAAGCAAAGGCAGGCACCAGGCACTGGCCTGTAATGGGGGATCCTCCCTCCTCGGAAGGGAGTTGTGATTGTCAATAGCAGTTTTTCCTCTATTTGGTGATTTGAATTCACTAAGCACACGGTGAGTGCCTGCCAGGCGCCTGACGTTGTCCGGGACCCTGTACGTATTGTGTTCATATGAGTTCGTGCCATTAGTGTTATATTTCTTCCATGGGTAGCATGTAGCTCTCAGTAAAGCAACATTTAATAAGCCCAAGAACTTTAGAATCTTTACTTACCACAGTGTATTTAAAGAAATATGGAAAAGATTGGCCTAAGGAATCGTATTTGTTGGTTCATGTTAAGGGTTGTTTTTAGTTATTCTTCCCTACTAATGAATCATCTACAATATAGTTTGAAGTTTGGTTCTTAGCCTTTTACACCCATATTTCTTCGGTAGCAGAAGTTAGAATGAATACTTTGTGTGCATTTTTCAATGTCCATACAAATGCAATGCAGAAAAAACTCCTCTTTTGCAAATATTGTCGCTCTTACTCAGGTGACCCTGCTAGGGTCATATTTTCTTTTATCTTGTTTCTTTAAAGGAGAGCAGTAAGTGCAGCTCTAATTTCAAAATCACTTGGTAAGCACTGATTTGTGGGCCTGTTTTGTGGGAGGCACTAGTGTAGGCCCTGGGGTGCAGTGAGGAGCAAAGCAAAGTCCCTTCCACTGCACCAGGTCCTAGTGGGAGGCAGGCACTCAGTCATGGGTCCAGAAGGCACTGCAAAGCAGCCACCAGGGTGAAACCGAGCAGAAGGAGGGAGGGAGGCGTTCCAGGTGACGAGGCAGTAAGCGCATGGGCTCAGAAGTGGCTCTTGCTCGGAATACTTAAAGACAATTCTTCAGTATGAAACTAAATGTTTCTTTGCCTACACTTCTGTTTTTCAGGCATCCGAGATGTTTCTAAATGGAGTGAGAGGACAAGAAAGCCTCTAGAAGCCCTCTATGGGTATGACTACTTTGCCAGAACCTGTGAAAAGTGGGTGGATGGCATAAGACAGTTTAAACATCTCCCAGATGGTAGGTTACTGGGCTCGAAGGGCTCTCTGCCTGTTATAGAGGGTGCACGAGTTCCTCCCCAGTGTTCCAGAATTGCTCAGTGATTCATGAATCTGCCCATCGCCCTCACACACTCATGTGTGAACAGAACAGAGAATACTAGTTACTGTGTACTGTGCCAGTTCTTGTGTAGTCAGTCTGGCTTAACGTAGAGATAGGGCTGCATGTCCAAAGGTTCACGTTGTTGAGTCTTTAATAGCAGACTGTTCTCTTTTCCTTCTTATCCTTGGTGTGTGTGTGATGACAAAATAATTACCCAGAAGCCTTGAACAGTTTCTATTTTCTAATTCCAGAATGAGTCATTCGAAAATAAATAGACCACAATATGTACAATATTTTTTCCTTTTTACACTTTTAGATGTGTCACCCAACGAGGACACTGTTAATCTTTAATCTCAATGGAGTTAATATGAGGAAGAAAATATAATTTTTTCCCATCTTCAGAACTAAGTGATATGACCTTAACTATGAACAAATATCTCCTATTCTTTTTTTTTTTTTTTTTTTTTTTAAGATGTAGTCTCACTGTGTTACCAGGCTGGAATGCAGTGGCATGATCTCAGCTCACTGCAATCTCTGCCTCCTGGGTTCAAGCGATTCCCCTGCCTCAGCCTCCCAAGTAGCTGGGACTACAGGCGTGCACCACCACGCAGGCAATTTTTTTTGTATTTTAGTAGAGACAGGGTTTCACCATGTTGGCCAGGATAGTCTTGATCTCCTGATCTCATGATCTGCCCACCTCGGCCCCCCACAAGTGCTGGGATTACAGGCCTGAGCCACCACACCTAGCCTCCTATTCTTTATCTGAAAAATTACCAAGATTTCCAGTTAAAGTAAGAATTGACATCTTTAAGAGAAATTCTGAATTATAGTTTATTTTCATACAGCTATTTATGTTTATAATCTCATTTTTCTTTTTCTTTTTTAATTGCTGAGAAAACAGAGTAGCTGAGATCTAATCTTGGAGTGCATTGTTACAAAATGGTTGTGATTGAAGGACCAATTTGATCTATTAGGTAATCATTTCCTGCATGAGTCATCTGCCAGAACTTTCACAATGAAAAGGACGTTTGGAAATGTTACTCTTCTGGTTTGAGTTGAAAGCAGCAAATACATCAAATATATGCCTTATAATGCTCCAGTTCAGATGCAGTATCCACCGATGGAAACAGGCCCTGGAAATCTCTGCTCTTAAAACAAACCAAAAAATGCCATAAAGCAATGTTTGTGACAGTTCTCCATTAAAGAGGGCACATTTGTAAAATGTAAACTTTTATGTTTTATTGAAGAGAGTAGTGAAAAGATAGGAAGATTTAAAGGTAGAAATAGGGTTAAATCAGCAATTCGAAAATACGTTCTTGATACAGAGGCTGCAGCAGTGTGTAAACTCTCTCACAGCGAGGCCCTTCATGCTCTGTTCCCCTTCTGTGCTGGCTAATTTGGTAGGAGCCCCGTTTTCCTCACTGTCCTCTCGGGTTTGTGGATGCTTGGTACAGCACAGGGATTCATTGCACGGCTCTGGAGTACGATGAGCCTGAGTGTGCATTCTGGCTGTGCCCCTGGCTTGCTGTTAGAATGGATCTGGGCAGGTAACTTCGCTTCTTGAAGCTTCAGTTTCCTGTCTGTGACCTCGAAAAGCTGTTGTGGGGATTACATGAGATATGATCTGTTCAGCTTTGGTGCAGGATCAAAGACAGAGTAAGTGCCTAATGAAAGGTTGGCATTACTGTTATTACAAAAGTACTTAACAGACAAACATTTTTATATGCTGAATAAGTTAAAACATGTAACTACTGGGTTTAACAGATATGAAATTGTGTAAACAGTTCCTGGTACAAAGTGAGCACTCAGGAATATTGACTTTGATCATCACATGATGAAGCAGTTGGCCAGTGTGTGTCATCTCGGGACAGGAGAGGGAAGTGTCAGAGACCTGGAGAAGTATTTCCCTAGTCACCAGGTCCCCTTCTCACTTAGCAGGCGGGGACTTCCCACTGAAGAGGAGGGAAAGGCCCAGGGCAAGGCAGGGAAGCACTGCATTGTGGGGGCAGCTCCCAGCCTTCTCGGAGCTGCAGCGCCTTCTTCTTGACACACATGGAGAAGGGAGGGAGGAGAAGGAAAGAGCTAGCTTAGGGATGCCGGGGACCGTAGATGCCGCTCTCCTGTTAGCCCCACGACAGGCCCCGGGAACTATGATTGTTCCTGTTTGTGGCTGAAGCTCCCAGTGGTTAAGGGACCACCACAGTCTCACAGAGGCAGGAAACTGCAGTACGGGGACTAGGGCCCAGGCTGTCCATCGTTGCCTCTGGAAAGTTCTCATAAATGGGGGTAAGTCCTTACAGCCTCTCCAAAGGATGTTAGTCAGGAGTGTCACAGAAGCATCAGTGATAAGGCATCAGTGATGCGCAAGTTGTATAATGAATTCATCGTGAGGCTCACATGCTTTGAGGACTGGCCGGGGCCCCTACACTCATCTGAAATGTGATTTCCAGGGAAAAGCTCTACAGGTGTCCAGCACCTACCCCTGTTTTCACATTGGGAACCGCCACTGTGGAATATAGTGGTGGGGTGTTTATTTGATTTTCCTACTATTTTATTTGAATTTAAATCAGGCTGCTTATTTACTAGTAGAACTCAGAAACAGGCAAACAAACAAGAAACAGAATCAGAAAAGGGAATCCAAAGAATGTTAGAGCTGGAAGGGATCCCAGGCAGGTCAAATCCAAACCACGGTTTTTACAGATAGGCAAACTGAGGGCCAAGGAGGGGCAGGGCGCGCCGAGCTTTGCTTCCTCTGACAGCATAGAATGGTTGCACTAAAGCAGATTTCTTGTGCTGTGTATCCTTCAGGTAACATCTGCCGGCACCTGCTGCCCCAGGTCCAGTGCCCCACCTTGATTGTGCACGGTGAGAAGGATCCTCTGGTCCCGCGGTTTCATGCTGACTTCATTCATGAGCACGTGAAAGGCTCACGGTAAGTCCTGTCAACACCTTGACACTCCCCCGCACAGAGCCTCGGAGTCAATGGGCAGAGCTACTGGAAGGAAAAGAACCAATAGGAGTTGGAGTTTTAGAGTACACGGCCCCCCTGTTTGCCAGTGCAGTCAGTAGCACCGCTTTATTTAGGGGACCACGGAGGACCGAAGCCCTGAACTGTGGTTGTTTGATAACCAGAAGGAAAGGCACGCTCAGCTAGTCAGCTCTTACTTTTATGAGTGGCAAACAGGCTGGCAGGTGCTAAGCCCTGTCACTTGGTAATAGTTCAGGTTTATTTCCATCAGTATTAACCGAAACCATTTCACACAATTTAGGAATTTTCAGTTTAGTTTTTTATCATTATGAAAGCACTGACCACCCAATTTAAAAAAAATCTGTTAAACCAAATTTCTGATGTCTGCTGACAGGCAGCGCCACTCAGCACGGCTAATGGTAGCGTTCCCTGTCCCGAAAGCCCTCCGGCCAGCCGGGAAAGCAGGCACAGAAACAGCTCCACTGCTTCCTTATCACTCTGTTCTGTGATATATTTAACAACGGATTTCTCAGAGAATTTTTAAATGAGGATAAAAAGTTTCTGTTCCATAATAAAATACAATTACCATAAACCTTTATAATTCCTATATCCATAATGGATAATGCTATATCCATTTAGCATTTTTTAAGTTAAAAGGCATCTCTTTATTCCACACATTCCTCCTATGCCACTTCAACCATGAATCAAAAATACACATGAGCCTGTATAACAAATATTTCATGTGGTGAGAGCATAGAGTCAGTGAAGAGCAAAGGTGGGAGTTAGGCAGGATTATTTTGCGGGTGGACAAAGACGTTTAGTGGAGGAGTTATTTATTTTTTTTGGAGCTAGAGTCTCGCACTGTCGCCTGGGCTGGAGTGCAGTGGCGTGATCTAGGCTAACTGCAACCTCCGCCTCCCGGGTTCAAGCGATTCTACCACCTCAGCCTCCCAAGTAGGTGGGGTTACAGGTGTACGCCACCACGCCCAGCTAATTTTTTGTATTTTTAGTTTTAACGGTTTTTGCTATGTTAGCCAGGCTTGTCTCAAACTCCTGACCTCGTGATCCGCCTGCCTTGGCCTTCAAAGTGCTGGGATTACAGGCGTGAGCGACCACGCCCCACTTGGAGTTTTTAAATTGATATAGTAGGGGCTGGGCACAGTGGCTCACACCTGTAATTCCAGCACTTTGGGAGGCTGACGTGGGCGGTTCACTTGAGGCCAGGAGTTCAAAACCAGCCTGGCCAACATGGCAAAACCCCATCTCTACTAAAAATACAAAAATTAGCCGGGCATGGTGGCAGGCGCCTGTAATCCCAGCTACTCAGGAAGCTGAGTCAGGAGAATCACTTGAACCCGGGAGGCAGAGGTTGCAGTGAGCCAAGATTATGCCATTACATTCCAGCCTGGGTGACACAGTGAGACTCCGTCTCAGAAATAAATAAATAAATAAAAATAAATAAATGTATTTAATAGGCAATAAAAGGTATTTTCAAACTAGACTTTACAAAATTATAATACTAAGTCATGGTCATGGTACAAAATTCCAATAGTATACTTTCTTATTAATCCTTACAAAAGTTTTTGTTGTTGTTGTTGAGGCAGAATTTCGCTCTTGTTGCCTAAGCTGAAGTGCAATGGCGTAATCTTGGCTCACTGCAACCTCTGCCTCCTGGGTTCAAGTGATTCTCCTGCCTCAGCCTCCTGAGTAGCTGGGATTACAGGCGTGGGCCACCACGCCCAGCTAATTTTTACATTTTTAGTAGAGACATGGTTTCACTGTGTTAGCCAGGATGGTCTCGATCCCCTGACCTCATGATCTGCCTGCCTCGGCCTCCAGAAGTGCTGGGATTACAGGCATGAACCACCATGCCCAGCCTGCAAAAATTTTTGTGCTTTTGATTGTGTTTGTTTGCAGTGTGCAAAGTGATGTCTCCATATAGCACTTAATATTTTAAAAGGTATTTTTTACATGGTATCTAGTTATAGTTTGTGACACAGTTATGAAAAAAATTATCCATTTTACAGATGAGAAATCACGGCTGAGAGATGTTAAGCAATCTTTCAAGGCTGCATAGCTAGTAAATAATGAATCTTAGATTTTTCTCCTAATATGGTGCTTTTCCACCATAGTACAGCTGCCACTTCTCTCTTAATATGTACGATGGTAACATGCCCAGAATAAGATACCAGGTGACCTGGTTAATTGTCTTCCAGCTTCAGAAATGACAGGTTTTTCACAGTGACATACATAGTAAATGTGGTATGTGCCCTTAAACAGCCAGGTTCAATTAAAGTCAGTCTACAAGAACGTTTAATTTAGGAATTAAAGTTTAATTTAAGCCCATCTCCTAGCAACAGAGTACATCAGTATAGGAGAAAAACACCCTTACTATGCAGATATTAATTGTTTTAGTAGACTATTTTATGGAAGATCACTTTCTTAAAGCAATATTCTGTGGAGGAAATAGGTTGAGTATAAAGTGTTATTAGCAATGACTGTCGAAAACTGGATTGTAGCACCGGGCGCGGTGGCTCATGCCTGTAATCCCAGCACTTTGGGAGGCCAAGGCAGGTGGATCACGAGGTCAGGAGATCGAGACCATCCTGGCTAACACGGTGAAACCCCGTTTCTACTAAAAATACAAAAAATTACCTGGGCATGGTGGTGGCGGGCGCCTGTGGTCCCAGCTACTCAGGAGGCTGAGGCAGGAGAATAGCGTGAACCCGGGAGGCAGAGCTTGCAGTGAGCCGAGAAGAAAACTGGCTTGTATTTTCTACTTATTACCTTCCTCTGCTGTAAGAGCCCTTTATGTTGGGCATGAGCCTACCTAGAATGTGGTTGGTTTATTTTGGTCTCCACAAAACGAAGGCAGATTCCCTGAGTACCAAAACCCGACTGTGCTGTGTGCACATCTGACAGCCATCTGACAGCAGGGGAACAACGCGGTGTAGCAAGCTTCCAGTGAACTGGATATTTCATTGCCTTGCCGGGTACTTTTGTTTTTTTGACGTAGGGTCTCACTCTGTCACCCAGGCTAGGGTGCAGTGGTGGGATCGTACCTCACTGCAGCCTCGAACTCCTGGGTTCAAGCCATCCTCTCACCTCCCGAAGTGCTGGGATTACAGGTACAAGCCACCATGCCCGGCTGCCAGGTACAGTTTTAATTAAACTTAAAGGCACAGGCCAGGCGCCGTGGCTCACACCTGTAATCCCAGCACTCTGGGAGGCCGAGGTGGGCAGATCACCTGAGGTCAGGAGTTCAAGACCAGCCTGGCCGTCATGGTGAAACCTCGTCTCTACTAGAAATACAAAAATTAGCCAGATGTGGTGGGCACCCATAATCCCAGCTACTCAAGATGCTAAGGCAGAGAATCACTTGAACCTGGGAGGCAGAGGTTGCAGCGAGCCGAGATCACGCCACTGCACTCCAGCCTGGGCAACAAGAGCCGAAACCCTGTCTCAAAAAAAAAAAAGCACTTAAAGGCACAGACTATCCCTCCCCAGATTTTTACCAAGAAATACAGATTATGTGTGAAGCAAACACCAAACTGCCTTTCTTGCCTCAGAAGGAGGCTGAACAAAGGGTGGAGTTGCTCACCAGGTCTGCCTCCAGCTTATGTTAATTTGTCTCTTTCTCTCCTCTCTTTGTGGTAGAAGAAAAATAAGAATCGCTTATTTTTATTTTAAGCAAAGAGGCCTTAGAGATCACTCAGGCTCGGTGGTTTTAACATGTGTTTTTGTCGGTTGAAGCCCTTCCTCTAACAAGCTCTTATGCCGAAGTCTGAGATACGAAACACACAGTGAAAGCTGCTCAAACGACAGCAGTGACAGCAGGCTTTGCCTTTCTGCCTCCTGTGTCCAAATTTTCTCTTATAAGTACAGCAGTCGTAATAGATTAGGACCTATTCATATGACTTCATTTCAAATTAGTTACCTCTTTAAACACCCATGAACCAGCGCAAGACCTGTCTCTTAAAAAAAAAAAAAAGGCCAGGCACAGTGGCTCACACCTGTAATCCCAGCACTTTGGGAGGCCAAGGCAGGCGGATCACAAGGTCAGGAGATCAAGACCATCCTGGCTAACACGGTGAAACCCCGTCTCTGCTAAAAATACAAAAAATTAGCTGGGCGTGGTGGCGGGCCTACCCAAAGGAGGTCACACTCGGAGATGCTGCGAGTCAGGATCTAAGCGTATCAATATGAGGGGTACAGTTCAGCCCATCACAGTGCTTCTGAGGAGGTGCTCGGATCTCAGGACCAGAGGCCTGGTTCTGGGTGTCAGACTCGGCTGCAAATGATGAGCCCCTCACCTCTCACCTGCAGCCGTTCTCCACCCCTCAGCCCTGCCTCTGCCTGCCTGGGTGTGTGCTCACCCCTTAGGCCAGGACTCAGGCGGCTCCTCGGTGAGACTTCCTTGCCTCTGCCTGCCCCTCCAGTTGCTCGCTCACCTATCGGAGGTCATATGGCTCCTTATTCATACCTTTTTTCTTCTTCTTTTTTTTTTTTGAGACAGAGTCTCACTCTGTCACCCAGGCTGGAGTGCAGTGGCGCGATCTCGGCTCACTGCAAGCTCCGCCTCCCGGGTTCATGCCATTCTCCTGCCTCAGCCTCCCGAGTAGCTGGAACTGCAGGCGCCCGCCACCATGCCCAGCTAATTTTTTGTATTTTTAGCAGAGACGGGGTTTCACTGTGTTAGCCAGGATGGTCTCGATCTCCTGACCTTGTGATCCACCCGCCTTGGCCTCCCAAAGTGCTGGGATTACAGGTGTGAGCCACTGCACCTGGCCTTCTCTTTTTTTTTTTAAGAGACAGGTCTTGCACTGTCATCCAGGCTGGAGTGCAGTGATGTGGTCACGGCTCATTACAGTCTCCTGAATAGCTAAGACAACCCATTATTAGTGTAGGTATATGGGCATATTTGGGTTCTCCAAAGAAATGGAACCAACAATACATATATGTGTGTATGTATATATAGGTAGAAAGAAAGAGATTCATTACAGGGAATTGGTTCATGGAGTATGAAAGCTGACAAGTCCCAAGGTCTGCAGAGTGAGTTGGCCAGCTGGAGACCCAGGAGAGCCAAAGGTGTGGTTCCAGTCTAAGTCTAAAGGCCTGACAGCCAGGAGAGGTGATGGTGTGGTTCTAGTGTGAAAGCCAGGAGGCTTGAGACCCAGGAAGAGCCAATGTTTCAGCCTGAGTCCAAAGGTAGGAAAAAGCCAACATTGCAGATTGAAGGCCACCAGGTGGGAGGAATTCCCTGTTCTCAGCCTTCTTGTTCTACTCAGGCTTTCAGCAGATTGGAGGAGACCCACCACACTGGGGAGGGCCTCTGCTTTACTCAGTCAATGGATTCAAATGCTAACCCATCCAGAAACACCCTCATGAACACACTCAGAAATAATGTTTGACCAAATATCTGGGCACCCTGTAGCCCAGTCAAGTTGACACAAAGTGTATAGTCACAGGGTGAAGGGCTGAGAGATGCCATCTCCACAAAGGTCTGGGCCTTGTGTTGGGTTCACCAGAGGGTGTGCTGGCAGGCTGGCAGCGAGGCGTCAGGCCTGGGATGTCTGTGCAGTGGACTAGTCACTGTCCTCTGTCTGAACCACAGAACGGAAGGAAGTGCCTCTTTCTGCAGCTTCCTTGGCTGTTTGGGTCTGGCCGCCAGTGGTAAGATGGCCCTAGTCCTCCCAGGCAGGCCAGTGGGAGCCTTACCACTTGGTGGAGTGAAATGAATTGGCTTAGGTGGAAAAGATTCACACCAGTGACAGTGGTTCATTTTCAGCTCCATAGAAAAGTGAAGCCAGGTTCTGGTGGGGAGGTAGACGCTGCCGGCAGGCAGGGCTGCAGCTTCCGCTTCGTACTGCCTCCAGCCTGGACGCAGTGGTTTGCCCACTCTTCTGCTACTGCCCCAGGTGACAGTTCCCCACCATTGGCATCCCAGCCCTCCTCTTCCCAGCTGCTGCTTTCAGCTCCTCCCAGCTGCTGCTCAGGTGGAAGGGAAAACCATCAGCTCCAGACACTGCTTGTGGGCTCATGACAGGATTTACTGCACACAGAATTAGCCAGTGCTTATCAAGTTGAGTCCTTTGTATTAATATTTCAAACAGTGTGGTCTGAACCTTTCCAGACAAATCTTACCTGCAAGGTAATATTAAAACCACTCCTAAGAAGCCTGCAGTTGGAGGTGTTGTGTTAGCCAACAAATGTAGATTAATTGTGCTCCCCTGAGTCAGTCATTGTTTAATATGCTGCACAGATTAATACCTTAAGGAATTCTGCACATTGTAAAGTGCAATACAAATATACTAATAAAGTAACAGCAGACATTTGTTAAGCTTACCACGTACCCACAGACCCTATGCTGCATACGTTGAATCTACTATCTCATTTCATCCTCAGAATGATTCTGCGGGGTAGATTCTGTTACTGTCCATATTTTCCAGATGAGGAATTGTGACTCAGGGAGATGGATGTAGCCTGTCAGTTTGGACTCTGTGCTGGTTAGACAAAACATGTCCTGGCCCCATAAAGCCAGTGTTTTCCTCCCGCAATGATGCCTCCAGTTTACATCCAACTGTCACAGGAAGAAAGCTTTCCTGCAGTCCAGGGCCCGACTAGGTCCCCACAGTCACAGCAGACTTGGAAAGGCTTTGTCCTCCACACACCACTTAAAAGCACCAACCTAGCAGCCCAAGGGTCCTCTAGCAGCCCACTTTAAGCCAACACACTGCCCAGAAAGTAGCCTCGGGGGCAGTTTTGCATCTAATGCTTGTGTCTACTGCTGGAGAGATGGTTGCATTTGAGAAAAGGAGTTCTCGGTGAGCTGTTGCCTCCACTATCCCCAAATGCCTGGTCAGCCCTAACCAGAGGAGAGCCTGTCCACCCAGGCAGCCCCCAGCTTCATCAGCAGCAAGGAGCTTGTGGTTTGCCCACCATTACCTTTTTGTTTGTTTGTTTGTTTGTTTGTTGTGAGATAGAGCCTTGCTCTGTTGCCCAGGCTGGAGTGCAGTGGTGGGATCTTGGCTCACTGCAACCTGTGCCTACTGGGTTCAAGTAATTCTCCTGCCTCAGCCTCCCAAGTAGCTGGGATTATAGGCATGCACCACCATGCCTGGCTAATTTTTGTATTTTTAGTAGAGATGGAGTTTCACCATGTTGACCAGGCTGGTCTTGAACTCCTAACCTCAAGTAATCCACCCACCTCGGCCTCCCAAAGTGCTGGTACTACAGGCGTGAGCCACCGTGCCTGGTCTAGTACCTTTTTCTTAGATGGGGCTTTCTGGAAGAAGCAGAATGAAAAAGGACAATATTTAGTTTCTGAATAAAAAGGGGCTACTGGTAACCAGGTTTGGATGGCGTCAGAGGGAATGCCTGAAGAAGTGATATCCACATTGCTGCCCAGTTTCACACTGGAAGACATGCTGTGCAAAGATCCAGCGGCCTGCTTTGGGTTCCAGTTAAAACAAAAGTACATACTGGAACTCTACGGATTACAGACTTACTGACAACTTTATGGATTCATAGATCAAGTTTTGTTACATTGATCCAAGGTAAAGACACGCCACAGCGCATTACTTGTGGCCTTGTTACTGTCTAACTCCCTGAGTTACAGGTGAAAGTTCAGCTAAAGATGAAAAGGGCTCCAGGTGGGGCAGAAAAGGTAGCGTCTCGAAGCCAGCATCTCACCTATGCCATTTTGACTTAAAAGAACTGTATCGACAGAGGTAAAGTGACCCATACATTTATCTTGGGGTTAGACAGTTTCTAGTTCCTCAAAATATCTGGAATCATGTCTTGTTTCTGAAGGTGCAACATGCAATGAGGAACCTGCCCTGGCAGAGGAACTCGTGTTCATTCTCTGAAGCCCCTTCATGTCCCACTCGGCCATGTGTGTAGCAGTGGGGGGTTTCGTACTCATTTTTTCTGGAGAATGTTATTGTTTGAAAAGCACTCTCCACAAAGCATGTGATTACATCCTTGTGTTACTTGGGTGAGAATCTAGGGCAGCTACAGAGCTCCTGCCTTGCCTTGACAGCTGATACTCATGGCCGCCTCTTGTGGTCCTGCTCCCAAAGAGGAACACACTAGAGTTTCCGTGCAGTACAACCTGTGTCACACCTAAGGGAGGCAAGGGCTGCGAAGGAGCTTGAAATGACCCTCAAAACATAGCAAGGAGAACAGTTGTCTTCGTATCTCTTCTGTCTATCTGTGCATCTGTCCATTCATCCATCCAGCATTCAGAGCAGGTCTCCCACAGTTTAATGAAGGGAACCTAATTTTTATTTCCCCAAGATCTAGAGATTAGGAAGAGTGCAGACAGTGCTGAACGGCTAAAAAGAAAGGATTCACAGCGAGGGTCTCCTTCCTTCCTTATGGGAAACCAACAAATCATAGCCAGATGGGCTGGGCTGTCTACAGAGGAGGACTTCACGTGGGGCAGGCTGGGGATTCCCTGCCTCCCAGTCCAGTTTAGTGCAGATCACGGGATGCAATTTAGCCTATACGTGACCTTCTGTGACCTCTCAGCATCCTTGGCAACTGGTTCTTTCCTGTTTCCTGAAAACAAAGGCCTTGAGTGTCCCTGCAAACCCTGTTCCTTGTGTAGGCAACTGGGATCCTATCTTTGGGGTAGGTGCAACTCATCCTTCTTTTCTGAATAGTGTTAAAGTTGAATTTAGAATGTTCTGGTTTTTAGTAATAGCATTACTAATTTTCCAAAGCCCTTGGAAAGGTCCCAACAATATGTCTTCCTTTCAAGTTGATTCTCTTGGTACCCCATTCCCAACCACAATGTGGTGGCGGAGTTGGAAGAGGCCCAGCATCTTCCAAGGACAGCTCCCTGCCCCACAGTTCCTCCCTGGAGCCTGCTGAGGTTCTGAGCTGTCAGTCCCCAAGTATTGAAAGTCAAAAAATTCGGCAACATGGTAACGCATTCTGCCCCAATATTGTCCTTTTAATGTCTAGTTATCATTGTAGACAAAGTGGCTTGAACTTAGGCTTTCATCCTAGAACCTTTAACACTTTTACTGTTTCTATACTTTTGTAGCTAATAAGTCAAATATAGAACAAAGAGAAGGCTGCATTTATTCAGGAAACTGTAAACCTGTCCCATTTTATCACAATCCTATTGAAAGGAAGAAGCCTTACGAGGACAGTGTGTTTGCCACAACGCTGAGCCGTGACAGCTGCAGCAGCGGCTCCTGGAGCACAGGACTGCTGGCGTGGGCTCACCACCCTCACAGCCATTTGTCTGGCGGCTTGTATGTAGATGGATTTGTTCAGTAATCCAAAAATGGAAGGGTGATTTGGAACGTTGAGCAGCAGGCTGAGGGCGGCTGTGCATTCTGCTTTGCACTTGCCGGCTACATTGACAGCCCAAGAAACTCACCTGCCCCAGCCCAGTGCATTCTGGACATTTCTTCTTTTTCTCATCTTACCAACCTCTCTGAAAATCAACTTCATTAAAATGGATTTTTCTAGAGTAACCACCAAATCACCTCCCCAACTCTCAGTCCATTTTCTGGTCAAACCATTTGTTACTTGATTCAATTCCAAATATAATATGTGTCTGCTACTGTGAAGTCATCGCCTTACAGTCAGCCTCAGGGGTAGTCATGAACTCCAAGAGTTTCACCTTTCTGTCTGTATTCTTAGAAGGCTGATGGGTTCCATTTTCTCCTCGATAGTGCTCATGGGGAAAATGTGGCAATTTTTCACTATAGATGTTTGTGAAGTGTTGGGGAGAGTGAGGGGTTTGTTCTTACATGGTGTGCCATTGACCCAAAGCGTTTTTTCTTCCTTTTTTTAGGCTGCATTTGATGCCAGAAGGCAAACACAACCTGCATTTGCGTTTTGCAAATGAATTCAACAAGTTAGCAGAAGACTTCCTGCAATGAGAATGCGCACTTGAGTCTTGGTGGTTCCTTCGTGTGGGGCTTGATCGTGTTGCTGCCTGTTACCATGATGCCTTTGAAACTCTCCGCCTTGGAAACTTTCTACCCCTCCCTGCAATCTTATCCTGACCACATAAGAATAATGACATACTGAAAACAGCCTCTAGCTTCAGGCTGGGTACGGTGGCTCACCGCTATAATCTCAGCACTTTGGGTGGCTGAGGTGGGAGAATTGCCTGAGTCTAGGAGTTCAAGACCAGCTTGTGCAATATAGGGAGACTCTGGCTCTACAAAAAAAAAAAGTTTTTAAAAATTAGCCAGGCAAAGTGGCACACACCTGTGGTCCCAGCTGCTCCGGAAGCTGAGGCGGAGGATCACTTGAGCCAATTCAAAGCTGCAATGAGCTGTGATTGCATCACTGCACTCCAACCTGGGCAACAGAGTAAGACCTTGTCTTAAAAAAAAAAAAAAAAGGAATAAAGCCTCTAACTTCAATAGCTATGAAAATTAAATCTGATTTTCTAATATGAAGTTGTGATAGGTTATACCATTGTCTTAACAGGTGAATTCCTGCCATAATTTACTTTCAAATAAATTTTACCTGGAGAATGTGTAGTGTCAATGTTGGAGATTTTAAGACTTCTTGAATTTATACTGTGCCTTTTATCTGAGAAGTTCAAGCTTCACTTGTGTTTTTATTTGTGTTTATCATATTCAAAGAGAAGTAGGGAGAGTCTGTGCCCGAGGTCCTCAATTCTAAGATCATAGGATGTCCAGACCAGCAGCAGATAGGAGCAGGTTTGCTTTACCCCATATCCCTCTTTACTCCTGGTTCACTTTTGAGAGATGAATACTTTGGGCCAGTAAAGGCAAACAAAATACGTATTTTCATGGCTCTGTACTGAAAGGGCAGGAATGCTATTAATTAAAATACTAAAGCAGAAATCCTACATTGCTATTAAACTTTGATTACCACAATAAAAACAGTACCAAGTTAAACCTTGAAACTTTATACTTAAGCATTTAGAGAAAGAATAAAAATTACTTGAAGTGAGAACAGAGACCACAAGGTTTTCTACACATGCTTTTTTATTAGTATAGATACCTTCACAGACAATACTGTAATTTTTAGAGGAGTTCCACATCATTACATCAACAGTGTGAATTTTTCTAACAGAGGCAAAACTGAGCACCATAGTTTACAAGTAGAAAGACCATGCTTGAGGACAATAGAAGTTCACTAAGGATGCACGATTGATTTCAGAAGTTCTTAAGCCTCGTCCTCGCCCTCCTCCTCCTCGAACTCCCCCTGTTCGTCGGCCGTGGCGTCCTGGTACTGCTGGTACTCAGACACCAGGTCGTTCATGTTGCTCTCGGCCTCGGTGAACTCCATCTCGTCCATGCCCTCGCCCGTGTACCAGTGCAGGAAGGCCTTGCGCCGGAACATGGCCGTGAACTGCTCCGAGATGCGCTTGAACAGCTCCTGGATGGCCGTGCTGTTGCCGATGAAGGTGGCCGACATCTTCAGGCCGCGGGGCGGGATGTCGCACACGGCCGTCTTCACGTTGTTGGGGATCCACTCCACGAAGTAGCTGCTGTTCTTGTTCTGCACGTTGAGCATCTGCTCGTCCACCTCCTTCATGGACATGCGGCCCCGGAAGATGGCAGCCACCGTCAGGTAGCGGCCGTGGCGCGGGTCGCAGGCGGCCATCATGTTCTTGGAGTCGAACATCTGCTGGGTGAGCTCGGGCACCGTGAGCGCGCGGTACTGCTGGCTGCCCCGGCTGGTGAGGGGCGCGAAGCCGGGCATGAAGAAGTGCAGGCGCGGGAAGGGCACCATGTTCACCGCCAGCTTGCGCAGGTCTGCGTTCAGCTGGCCCGGGAAGCGCAGGCAGGTGGTGACCCCGCTCATGGTGGCCGACACCAGGTGGTTGAGGTCCCCGTAGGTGGGGGTGGTCAGCTTCAGGGTGCGGAAGCAGATGTCGTACAGGGCCTCGTTATCAATGGAGTAGGTTTCATCTGTGTTTTCCACCAGCTGGTGGACAGAGAGGGTGGCGTTGTAGGGCTCCACCACCGTGTCTGACACCTTGGGTGAGGGCATGACGCTGAAGGTGTTCATGATGCGGTCTGGGTACTCTTCCCGGATCTTGCTGATGAGCAGGGTGCCCATCCCGGACCCGGTGCCGCCCCCCAGAGAGTGGGTCAGCTGGAAGCCCTGGAGACAGTCACAGCTCTCTGACTCCTTCCTCACCACGTCCAGGACCGAGTCGACCAGCTCGGCTCCCTCTGTGTAGTGGCCCTTGGCCCAGTTATTCCCAGCTCCGCTCTGGCCTGCCAGAGGGAAAGTGAACATTAGACACTAAAACATAAGGAATTTCAAAATCTGTCATTTTGACTATGGAGGAGAAGGTAGGACTGGTCTTAGACTGGCAGATTCTTCTCTTTTGAATACTCTTCTTTTACCTGAAGAAATATTTTTCTGTGTCAGCGACCTCAAAAACACTGGGGATCATAATAAAGTTAAGAAGTAAGTTTAGCTCATCAGAGGCTATTTACTGAGGAAGAGGATAGGGTTAGAAAACTTAATTGGTTCTGAAATACATGAAGAGGATAGGGTTAGAAAACTTAATTGGTTCTGAAATACATACATTTTTAACAGGCATTCTTTTTATACTCAAGTACAATTAAACAGGCAAGGTGAAAGCAGTGGTCAGGAGAAGGTGGCCTCAGCATCTGTCTAGCTCCGGTCATAACCTGTGCTTTTTGCCCCTGACTTGAAGTCCTTTGAAGGCCTATAGCTCATGAAGCCTGGCTTGAAGCTTTCCTTGCTCTTCCTTCCTTCCAGTCTGAGGCTACTCTAAACGGGAAGGCCAGGGCAGCCCTCTGCAGGCTGGCGTTGATCTGTGAGCCATGACCGCCCCATGGACTGGGCGTGGAGCTAGGCCAGGACTCAGGGCTGCCGGGACACAGTGTCACTTCGCACTGAACACTAAGAACTGTGTTTGCAGGGTTGTTAGGAAGAAGGTGTGTCATTTGGCCGTCTCAGTGATCATGACTACATACCAAACACTAAGTTGTCTGGCCTGAAGATCTGGCCGAAGGGTCCAGACCTGACGGAGTCCATGGTGCCAGGCTCCAGATCCACCAGACATGCCCGAGTAATGATTTATTACCCGTAGAAACAGAACGATCTAGACCTGTGCTTAGGGGATGGACTCTGCAGCAGCATTCAATTCCAGCATCTGAGACAAAAAGGAGAACAGGAGATTTTCTGCTTTAAGAAAAAAGGAGGTCCTGAGCGTGCTTAACTGTGGCAAACAGGCAGGACTCTTAGGAAACCATAAAGCATGTTTTTCCAGCAGCTGCATTTGAAATGAATATGCAAGAAGCATGCCTTTGTCACGTGTATGTTCCTAGGACATTTCATCTCCCACATCATGGAAAACAAGGATTCCTAAGTAACACACATCCTGCTACTCACCAGCAGCCTCATTGTAGTACACGTTGATTCTCTCCAGCTGCAAGTCACTGTCTCCATGGTAACTGCCTGTAAATGATCCCATGCTCATCACATGACCTCCCAAAACTGAAATGAAACAAGAACCACACCATGGCTCCCCATCCTGAATGTGTCACTAAGGATGGCCTTGTCTTTCCTCCCATGTCCTTGAACAGGGCTTGTGGTCAGACAGTAAGTGCTAGACAGAGAGCAAAGAGCTGCACCCCTATTTCCCGCAGCAGCCGCTGCTGAGGGGCTTGAAAATCTGCAGAGCATCGGCCATGTTATGGCGATAGACTGAAAGGCTGGGAGGGGCCCTGGAGGGAGGAGGGGGACAGCAGATGCCTCTAGGAGAGGGTGGGGAGGGTAGAGAAATCGAGAAGGGTGACAGGAGGCTCTGTCACCCCAGGCAGGCTGAATGCCACTGCATCCGGATGATTGATGGGTCGTGGGTGGTGACCAGACAAGGGGACCCCACCCTGTGTCTGCCTCCAGGGATCAAGCCTTCAGCAGATCCCAGGTGCACCCTGCAACAGCAGGCGTAATGTTAGCACCGTGACCACCGGAGGGACTGGGCGATGGGCAGCCTGTGGAGCCTGGAGGGCACACCTGGGCGGCAGTGGGAAGGAGCTGGCCATGGTGAGGCGCCGGCTCCATTGTGAATTTGCGGCAGGAGGGGGCGGGGAGGTTGCGGGCAACATGGCGGTTCTCAAAGAGACCACGTCCTTGTACTGGCTCCCGCCCCCACCCATGCACCAGGGCCTCTGCTGCCTCCCACACAGCGGTCAGTAATTGCAGCCCCCACCCAGCGCAGTCACCTGCCGCCTCGGGGACTGGCAGCAAAACTATCGGGTGTTGTGGCGATCATGTCAAGACAGTGCTCGAGCAAGGAAATTTATCTAACACCCTCGCCTGTACGACCCAAAGGGAAGCCTCTGTTACATCTGTCAGTCCAGTGACACTGCATGTTTTCATTCAAACCGTAGAGATAAATACACAAATTAAATTCATACGAAGCTAGCGCAATAAATATGACCGTAGCCCCGACCCAAGTTTCTGAGACAAATACACCCAGCAGAATGCCAACCGCGTCCCTCAGAAGGGCTGTGTCCCAGGGAAATCGAGCGGCCCGATTAAACGCACACACAGCCGCGGCGCTGCGGGCATCCTGACGGGTCAAGTGCAGCCTCCCGCCCGCCCGGCGGCCTGCCGCGGAATGTGCCACCCAGCCAGCCCGGGGTCGCCGCGGCTCCCCGCCCCCGCCGCGGCCCCAGCCCCAGCCTGCACCCTCGGTCCCCACCCCAGGTCCTCCGCGCAGCGCACCCACCTTGGCGCCGATCTGGCTGCCGCACTGGCCTGCCTGATGTGCAATGCGATCTCGCATGGTGCCGGCTGCTGAGCGTGGCGCTGGCCCTCGAGCGGTGCGCGGCGTGGACTGGCGGGCTTAGCTGCGCAGAGACCTGCCGCCGCCCCCTAGCTCCGCTCCTTTATACCTGGGACCCGCCCTGCCCGGTGACGTCATGACGGGCGGGTTGCGGCCGCGGGGTGGTGCGGTTGGACTGCGGCACCGCGAGGGGGAGCCGGGCGCGGTGCGAGGTGGGGCGCCTGGCCCGTTGCGCTGTAGCTAATTCGGGTGGCCGCCGGCCCCGCTGTCCCGCGGTTAGCGCAGTGCTCCGACCTCGGATCCCCGCCGCAGCCCCCGCCGGATCCACGGGCGCGGGCGACCCTGGGGCTGGGTTCTTCGCTACGCCGCAGTCCCCACCCGCCCTGCCTGACTCTGGACCCTCAAGGAGGCTGAGACCGGGGCCCCGGAACCAGGGGGAGGGGCTGCCTTCGAACAGGGTCCTCGCCTCCTAGGGCGGGGAGAGGTGTCGAGTACCCTTTGGATGGGGAACTGGAAATTGAAGACCCATTTGCAGTGGGCTCTCCAGCGGGTAGTGAAGGTTTCCTGGATCCTGGGCAGGGCCAGGACGCTGCTGGGGCGGTGGGCAGCGTGGAGAGGAGGCAGGAGCCCCGGGAGCCGACGGGCAGCTGCCTGGAAAGGAATACCAGGATGGGCGGGTGGGCGCTTTTCTGCCTCCTACAGGAAGGAATATGGCTTGGTCTGGGGTGGGAGTTGGGGGTTCTAGAAAAGGGCTGGATTTGTCACATGTCTGTTGTAGGCTCCCAAGGCCCTTGTGGAAGCTGTGCCTTTGGTGGGAAAATTTCATGTGTGTGTGTGTGTGTGTGTGTGTGTGTGTGTCAGAGAGGAAGCATAGGAGGAATATATCTCGCATGATGTGTCAGCTGATGGCCCTGCCCTACACCCTTAGGTCACCTGATCCTCCCAGAAGCTTTCGGAGCTAGCTGTCCAGTTCAGACCCTAGGCAAGGTGGCTGCCGAACATTGAAACGTAGGTAGTCTGAACTGAGATGTGCTGTTAAGTGTGACGTATACACTGGATTTTATGGG